AGTATATAGTAGATTTCAACTTTTCACTATGTAGAGCCAATTGTGTGTTTCATGATTTTCCCAAAAAGGAAAACAAATTTAATTTATAAATATGATTAACATATTTTGTAAATATCCAAGAATTGTCAGACTGATTAAAAAAGTTATATTGCACCAATCCCACAAAGTCCAGAGGCTGCGGACTGAGATTTTAAAAAAATCTCTGCAGGTTAAAAAGGCTGTGGTTTAGATTAGAAATTTAAAAATAGACAGAGATCTTGACCTCACTGCAGACACACTGCACATGTCAGTATATGAATTAGTAAAGACGTGGCAGTAGAAGACAAATGATTTGGTCTCCTAGAAGTCTTCAATAAGTTTCTCAAACAAATACAAGAAGCGTTCCCTCCTGCTCATGCCGGTGAGGTCTTTCACGTCTTTCTCTGTGACACGTCTCTCCAGCCTGGCTCTCTCTTGATCCAAAACCAGTCGATCTTTGTTCACAGCGTCCCTGTCCTTCTCTATCGTAGCCTTCTCCTCCTCCATCGCCTCCCTCTCCTTCTCAAACATCACCTTCTCTCTCTCCAGCGAGGCTCGGTCTCGTTCCAGGGTGGCGGCCTCTCGATCCAGCACCGCCCTCTCCCTCTGCAGCACCAGTCGTTCCCGTTCTATGAGCTGTTTCTCCCTCTCTATGCACCGTCTCTCACTGTCCATGACGCTCCTTTCATCTTCCACATCTTGCATGATGCGATTTAAGTCCTCGGTTCCTTCCTGCACGACTTCCTCGTCATCTCCGTTTACGGAAACTTCGATTTCTACAGAGCCTGTAGGTGAGGTCACCTCCATGGTAGTTCTCTTCCTCTTGGATCTAGAGCCAGTTAAGGAGTCACCTCTGTCATAACTGTAGTGGACACCCTGGAGTGTGGTGCCGCCTTCCAGTCGTGACACAGCCTCATCCATTAGGTTAAAGTAACGCCATGAATTTGAGTACCCCGACATTCCGTCTGCAGGTTTTTTCAGCTCCTGAAGAGAAAGATCAGCTCATCAAGTCACAGCTTAAAAGACTGAGGACATTTTATGAATTCAAAGAAAATCATAAACGAATGCTACCTTGTACCTCTTCTTCATGTTTTCCCATTTTCTTGATGCTTGACGATGGGTCATCTTGTGTTGCGATGCCAACTGCCTGAGGATGCCTCTAAAAATGAGATGACATCATTTTAGTCATTTACACTGAAACAAAGCTTTCAAAGCACAGTTTAAATGAATGATAAGTATAAAGTTGCTGTACAAACAGCTATGATATTGAATACAGATTTTATACATGCCCTAGGGGAAGCACCACATATACATATATATACATATATATAAATATATATATATATAAAGTTTGTTTGAATTTGATTTGGCGATTTTTAGTTTCAGTTATTTATTATCATAAATCCTATGGAATTTCACGTTGCCACAGTTATTCAGGTTAACTTCAACTAGGATTTACGTTTAGTCATTAAAAGTCGACATTCTGGATTTGGGTATTTTCTGCATACGTCTTAGCTACTTTGGTTAGCTAAATAGCTTTATCTAAAAGCAAGTCAGTTCTGTCATTACTACTTACTTATGTACGTATAATCCGTAGAGCTGTGGTCGTTAAATTCCAATGCCCCAACACGTTTCTTTTTTGTTTTAGCCCATTTAGGCGTCCTCTCTAGGACGCGTCATGTTTCTGGGTCACATAGAGCTACGCCGTAGATGCATATAGACCGGAAGTGATAAAATCACCTCACTCTCTCCACTCAGTGGTGGGACGGACTTATCACACATTGATTCACCCGTCGTCAAAGTAGCAAAAAGCCATGAATAACATGACCGAACACAGAGATTTATTTGATTTATTTATAATTTCAGTTAAAAAAATGAAACGCAGAAACTTTCAGATGGGCATGCTCGTTTGCCTTTTAAAAGTGCATTTGTGGTTCACTACCTGTGGGGGCGGCAGTGCGCACGTTTACACTAGGATGAAGAAGAAAGCGATCGCGTCATATGTTCATCATGGCGGTAGATTTGACTCCGCGATTTAGAAGATTGAACAGCCAAACGAGAAGTTTCCGTGAAAACATACAGCACGGTAAGGAGTTTTAAATAAAACGTGAGAATATTTACATTATTGAATGTTTACACAAAAGTTGTAGATATGCGTTGTGTTTTTGAGGTTAAACGTGCGTTTAATACCAGACACGGAACATTTTCAACTTCAACTCTATTTTAAATAGTTTGTTTAGAAATGGATAAACTAAATGTTTGTGTTTTTTAAACCCATAGCATTAACATTATTAGTATTAGTTAGTAGTTAATAGTATTAACTGTATTCATGGAAATGTGTCAGCGGCATCTTCAAAACGATCAAGTTTGAAATAAATACACTTCAAATGTTTCAAATATTTTTGACATTTAGGTCGTTATGCTGGAATCCTTTAATACAATTATAAAAAAACGGAAATTGTACATATAAAAAGTGCAGTTTACTATGGCTGAAAGTTTTTGGAAAAGTTTGACATTGGATCAAAAAAGAAAGAAAGTTCTAAACAATTGTTTTTGGCTGAGAGAAAAATTGATCTTTTTCTTCAATGGTCACTTTATTTGGGACATTTTGCAAGCAAGGTGTCTAAACACAACAGGAACTTCTGTATTAAAATTGTATATTAAAAAAAATCAAAAAAACAACAAAACACATTTTTTCAGTGTGTTATAGACTGAGGCAAAAAAAATTCTCAACGCAAAAATAGCATTTAAATTCAAGATCTGAGTAATTTCAACTTTAAGTCTTACATTAGAAGAGCTATATATCTGTGTGATAACAATGTATTTTTAAACTAATGTGTATTGTTTATAGTTTATAGCTTATATGTTGAATTTTCTGCCCTCTGTGTGCTTTCTTAGTTTTCTCAGGACCCTTTGGTGCCACACAGCTATGGCACAACATCATCCATGCACTTCAGACACAGGTGGAGGTGCGCCGCTGCCGCAGACACCTCCGCGTCCACGCAGAGTGTTTCACCGGCTCAGACGCTGTGGATGCAGTGCTCAGTTATTTGATGCAGAATGTGGTGTTTTGCACCAGTGAGGTGTCTCGACTCAAGGCCACCCGGCTCTGCCAGGCCCTGATGGAGGCCAAGGTGTTTGAGCCGGTCGGCACCAAGCTGTTCCGCAGAGACAAGGAAGTGGCCTTTGAGGACAGCAGCTCCAGCCTGTACCGTTTTCTGGAATACAAAGTGGTGTCTGGATCTTCCACGAAGGAGCGCAGCAGTGTGACAGAAAACATGCCTCCAAAGGAGCTGGGGATAAAGAGGAAGAAGAGCTCCAGGTTGTTGGCAGTAATTATTATGTTCATGTTTTAATTGTAGCACTAAAACTGATGGTGTCTCTATGATATTCAACCTACAGGATGAAAGACCAGAGAACATTCTCCAATCCTCTAGCTGTGGGACCATCGGATTCAAGGGTTGAGAGGCTGCTGACGACCATCAACCTACAGCCGTATATTTCACAGGCTTCATCTGCCCCAGCCACGGCTGCCCTCCTGTCCAAAGCTGGTGAGAACAGTGATCCTTCTATTGTTGACTGCACAGATGTTATTGAATATTTTGTTTTCTGTTCCTTAACCTTATTTACTTCCTTAGTGGTGGATCAGGTTTGGAAACAGCAGACGCTGCTGCAGCTTCTGCAGATTGTGGAATTACCCGTCCTGGACTGCATCCTGTCCTCTCCTGCCCAGGTTCAGCAACCAGGCTGGAGAGTTTCTCTGAGCAGAGACCAGGACCTGGTTATCTCCAACACATGTCTGGATAGAGAGCTGCCCAACACCCTTAACCTGCCCCAGTAAGACTTGGACCACATGAGTTTGATCAATGACACTAAATGTAGTAACTAATGTGGCCACACGTGGCATGGATTTTACCTTTGCATCTCTTACAGGACCTTTACCAGAGTGTCTTTGCTGTCACTTACACCATAAGTGCTTTAGTTATAATTGATGTTATTGTTAGTATTTTACTGCTGTTATGTTATAATTGTGTATTGCTCTGTGTTGTAAAATTAAAATGTCCTGTACCTCAAATAATAGATTTATTTATATGTGTGTGCTAATAAAATCTGCCAACAAATATATAAACAGGTTGGACGACTGGCTGTCATTGGCCGCAGACCTCTTGGAGCTCTTCCCTGACCAGCTGATTGTCTTCGCTGGGGAACAACTCAACCAAGGCAGCAAGGGATGTGTGGACGATGGAAATGCAAACCAGAAGAGGCTGCTCTTTGACACAATTTCAAAATACTACAGTGAGCGGGGAAGAGCTCCTCTCCTCTCGGGGCGATACCTCGATATCCACATTGCAATTCTGAAGCTGCTTGGTGAGAGACTTAAGACAAATGAAAATGTAAAAACCAATGTAATTCGATTGCGGGTTTTACTTTTACACGCTGTCTTCTGTTCTTGTTCAGATGAAGAAAAGGTGCAGGAGGCTATCACAGCTTCTCAGCTGTGTCTACGACTGCTGGAGCCGAGTGTTAGAGATGAACTGCGGAGACTGTTGTCCTTCATGGCCACTGCAGCTCTACCAGAGTCCTGTCGTCTACAGAAACAAGTAGCCCTCCAGTCCTGTCTTGTTGCATGTGTTTCACTAGTATTTAAAAAAAAAAAACTACAAAGATAGTAGTTTAACATTTCTGCGTTTTTGCCTCATTTTTAAAACCTTGCAGATCGAAAACAGAGCCTTGGTCTGTCGCACTTTTCAAAAAGCAATTGTCCAGAACAGTGAAATGAATCGATGGCAGAGTGAATCTCTGGTCCTGTTCCTAATGGACAATCACACACAACTCTTCAAGGTGCTGTATAGTCTCATTTAAAATATGTTTCATTTTTAATACCATGATGTGAAGTGATTTTGTCTTAATTATTTCTTTTCATCATGGAAGCAGACTCCTGCCTCCCTCATTGAAGCTGTGAGGAAAACACTCAGGAGTATGAAGCAGGGAAGAGATCCTGATTCAGTCGCTAGTAAGTCAGAGCAGCAATTGATAAATAAAATAAAAAAGTTTGATGTGTCTTTCCATCAACTAACAACTCAGATGCTGTATAATTTAAGGTTTTTTAAAGATTTTCTAGGGTCTTTTAGCTATTTTCACTTTCCATCAACTAACAATTTTCTAGGGTCTTTTAGCTATTTTCACACTAACACAAGTTTATACTTTATTTTCCAACTTGTGGCTCTTATAAGCCATATTTTGAATGTAATGACTTTTCAGGTTTTTTTTATTATTTATTGTTTATCAATAGATATCTATTGTTATCTATTATCAATTTTGTTAAACTTTTTTTCTATAAATGTAGCTATAGTTGGCATTTTAGTTAGCATTAGGTCATAGTTTAACTTTAATTCAAATGTACTAAAGCAGCTGTGTCCACACTTTTTTGGCTTGAGCTCCATTCAAATGACCAGGCTAAAGTGATCTATACCTATTATATTTTTATTGCTCCTGTTATCGTCCCCTTTTAGTGTTCACCTTCTGCCAGCAAAGGACACCGCAGGACTACGAGGACCAGCGCGAGGCGACCACCCTGGAGAGCCTGAAGCAACTTCTCCAGGACATTTCCTCCAACAGCAGCATGTCAGTGAAGGAGAAGAGGAGACTGCTGAAAGAGTTTGAAAAGCACCACCCTGTGGTTTTCCTGCAGCACTTCTCCAGCACCTTCTGACGACCAAATTAGTTCTAAAGAACATCATACTTGATTCTTAAAAGTGAAGTACGAGCTTTCCTAAATCCCTAGTGTGTGTTTGGTTTAAATGGACTCACGCATCTTATGAAGAGCAATTTGCGATGCTGCAGCTTTACTGTGCCTTTTCATGGCACATTTTTCACACTTTTAATTTGTAGCAACACTGTTACATTACATTCTTAAATGCCCCTAAAATGTACTCATGATTTATTTAACCTAATGAAATCCTTTGAATTATTATTTGTTTCACTGCAGTTGTACATAAACAGGGTGCAGTTGGTTATCTGACATATAAAGTGTCCAAATAGACTAAGATTTAGCAAAGACTCTCAAACAAGATTTGCTCGTTTTAGTAGTTGTCAATTTTGCTTTGTTTTTATTACTACTATGATCTATGCTTTATGATTAAAGCATTTAGCGGTGAGCATCTTAGCATTCATGTTTTTAATGAAACTGAACAACCAGTTTGTACAGACAAGGTACTAAACTTGCACTAATCAATTTTCCCCTTCATTTTAAATAATGCCGTGCACTTTGATTGGGCATTATAATTTCCTTAAAACTTTTAATCTGGCTTTATGCTGTTGTAGAAATGTCACACTAATGTGTCTGAAGGAAGTCTAACACAAAGTGTGACTTTAGTGAAGGAATTCAAAGGGATATTTCTAAGGAAGTTACATTCAGCTCAGGTTCTTTTTAAAATTTAAATATGAAAGGGAATCCTTAACATTGATAGTGACTGCTATTTACTTGAAAAAGAAGAACACTACTGATTTAATCTGTAATGCCACTGATCATTTGCATGACCTTCAACCAATGTGCTCAAATTGTAAACTTTTGTAAGAATGCACTTTAAATTGTGAAATATGTTTAATTTCGAGTACAAATAAAGGTTTAGTGGTTCTCCACAGAGTACTCTACGTGTCAAGTTGCTGAGACTAATGTTTATTTCTGGATGCACCCGTGGATATCTTATATGTGCTGTAGCATCAATATCAATACAATCATTACTGCTGTATTCTTCGACAGGAGAGAGGCTTTATAGCCAGGCAACTTAGCTATAGATACAGTTAGATATCAAAATATCGTTGTAAAAGACATGAGAAGGAAAGAAAAATAGACGATGACGTCAGTGCACCTGATGCGTCAACAAACCCGGAAGTTGGCTGATACAGTAGCTAGCTAAGCTAACTCCTATCGTATGCTACTGGAAGACATGGAGGCTGTGTTTTGCAGCCAACACTGACAGTTCCGTTGTTGAAAGTTTACATAATATAAGAAGATACATCGAAATACATTTGAAAACCAAGGTAAGACACGCTAGGGCATCACTGTGGTAAAATATATACAACAACCTGGCTCTGTACTTGCGCATTTCTGGCTAGTTAGCTTGTTTGCTATTCCATGATCTGTTTGTGTTTAAAAAGCCTTAACGCTACACAGAGATGATGTCAGTGTTTTAAATAAAACAAAGAGATAAACATTAAGGGGGAAATTAGTAAGAATATTGTTAAGACAATGTCCTAGTGTGTAATGCATTTTTAAGCTTCAGGGCTAAAGAAAAATGCTAACTTGGCAAACAAGGTATTTCTCAATCTGACATTGCACTCAGGCTAAAAAAGAGACAAAAAAAAATCAAAATCTCAGTCAGGTGTTTCAATTTACTGCTGAAGTGACGTAACTTCATGTGAGTAGCATGTAAGACATTGAACAGTACTGACGTGGCATTATATTTATTTTAAATATAGATCAACAGTTTTGTGACAAAAAAGAAGGATGAGAGAATACCTGGTACCTTATCGAATTAAGTGGTACTAGGTTTGCTAAGTTACTGGTACACAGTAAAAAAAAAAAAAAAGTCAATCAGATGTCCAGTAGAAGATTAAAAATCTGCAAATACATTTTAAAGTGGCATTGGGCAGTTCTGATTTAAATAATTAATTTCATATTAATCAGATTGGATTCTACACATGTACAGCTTCATGTGGCAGCAAGCTTACAATGACAATTGTGCATAAAGCTCACTTGTTTAATGTTTAAACAAAGATGTTGTGCCTCTTGCAAGTAGTTGTAATGTCCAAGCCAGTGAATTGAGCATAATCTCATTTTGGCCAACTGTATAAAATACTTTATAAATAGTTGAATTGAGTTAAAATGTCAATGTAGAATTGAAATGACCTAATTGGCCTTTAATGCTACTTTCTTTGGCCAAATTACCTAATTGGCCTTTAATGCTACTTTCTTAAGTAGCATGAATGGCCACTCATTTCTCCACTTTGCTTTTGTACATTTTTGTAGTTTTCACCTAATCAGGTGTGGCTTGATTCAGCAAATACAACTATATAAAGAACACATTTTTATTCAGTTGCTATGATTTGATTGTCTTTTCTCTGTGTCAGCTAGGTTCTTTTATGACACTACCTGTTTTTTTTTTTGTTTTTTTTTTTGTTTTTTTTTACTATTTATCCATACAACTAAAGAATTAGATAAGAAGCCCTCACTGTGCAGTTTGCAAGATGAGTCATAGATGGCGTGGTGAGATTATCTGGCTGTGATCTCATGCTCTTTCATTAAACATATGGCTGAAACAATGTTTTGTGGATTTCCAGGGAGATGCTCCAGAGCAGTGAGGTGAAAGTTAATAATGCAAGGAGCTGAAATTTAAAACGCAGTCGAAGTTGTCGGTCAAACAGGGTTAACGTTTAATGGAACTGTTGATTGTGTTGTCCATGACACCGCTCACAAAATCAATGAACATACTTGGAGATTTGTGTTTTTGTAAACAAATGTAAATGAATTCTTGATTAGTATTGGTATTCCAGGAAGAAGAATAGTGAATTTCCTGCCCTGCACAGAATTTGACCACTGCATTTTACTAATCCATAATCGTTTAAACAAGTATAGACATATGTGCTTCAGAGCATGTTTTAGATGTTTTTTGTTTAAAGGTTGTGCTGTACTTAGAAAGGTGTGTTCTCCTTCCTCTGTGTCCTAAGCTGCCAGTTCAGGCCTGACCATGGAGTCCATGCTGAACAAACTAAAAAGCACTGTCACTAAAGTGACAGCAGATGTCACCAGTGCTGTAATGGGTAACCCAGTGACTCGGGAGTTTGAAGTGGGGAGGCATATTGCCAGCGGAGGTCCTGGCATGTGCTGGAGAATCTACAACGGCACCAAGAAGTCCACCAAGCAGGTGAATGTTGTTGTCCACCCCTTGTCTCCAGACCAACGTCAGCCCTTAAACAATAATGTCAATTACTTTTTGATCCAATAAAACTTGTTTCTTACAGTGTTTTTTTTATATTTGCTTTTCCAGGAAGTGGCAGTGTTTGTGTTTGATAAGAAGGTGGTTGACAAGTACCAGAGGTTTGAGAAGGAACAAATCATTGATTCACTGAAAAGAGGGGTGCAGCAGCTGACCAGACTGCGTCACCCGCGTCTACTGACCGTGCAACATCCCCTGGAGGAGTCGAGGTGAGTTGCACACAAATTCACATTCTCTCTGATCTCATGCGAGGTGCAGTGCATATTAAAAATGTAACTATTTTTATTTGTCTGATTTATATTATTTCTAATATATTGAGTTTCCTTCTTGTGTGTTTCCTTCAGAGACTGTCTGGCCTTCTGTACAGAGCCAGTGTTTGCAAGTCTGTCCAATGTTCTTGGTCAGTGGGACAACTTGCCCAGTCCTGTACCCAATGACATCAAGGATTACAAACTGTATGATGTTGAGACCAAGTATGGTCTGTTACAGGTAAGAGCTTGATCTTCTGTTTTAAAGTTACAGCTATTGAAATGTTTGTTTGTTTGGTCTTAAGGGTTTTTTTTGTTTGTTTTTTGTTTTTAATTCCAGCAGAACTCAATGGAACATAGGTTGACATTTAAATTTCATATAAAATATTTCACTAAATTTTTTTATTGAAGTTTTTTTTTCTGTTCTAAAAAGGACAATCAATTAATAAAGTCATTACCACTCAGTAGAAAACAATGTTAAGCCTCATATAAAGCAGGTTTAGTCCAACTCTCTGTGTTTGAGGCCATGATGATGCCCATGAAGAGTCTCACCCCTGCAGTGTTTGAGTCAGTCCCTGGCTTAGTCCCTGGTCCCTATTCTTCCAGTGAGTGTCCAGTCCAAATACTCACTGTTCCACTCAAGAGATCAGTTCTGTCTCAAATGTTTACATTCAGTCTAAAATCAAGTCTCCAGAGTTCGTCTCAGGTCACTGAGGTCAACCAAGTTGAGCATCTAAGGTCCAGAGTCTGCAAAACAATATACTCCCATTAAATCTCTGGTTGTTGTACTGTCACAAGTTTTGCTTTGTGGCTTTGTCACTTTAAATGCAGGCTATAGGTTATTTTCTTTACAGGTCCATTATATGATCATGTTGCTTTTAGCTTTTAGAGCCAGCTAAACCAGTTTGAATGCACATCATACCTTTTTAACCTGTTGGGTTTTATTTCCCTAGTGTAAGCATTTCTTTTTTTCAGCAGTCGATCAATCCAGGATTCTTCAATGGTTTAGCCATTATTTTGATCATCTTCTTGCTGGAGCCCATGCAGTGTCATTCATTAAGGCCATTCTTTATTTAACTCCTCAGTCTCACTCTTTTTTCTCATCAGATCTCTGAGGGTTTGGCCTTTCTTCACAGTGGTGTGAAGATGGTCCATGGAAACCTGTGTCCACAAAACATCATTATTAACAAAAGCGGAGCCTGGAAGATCATGGGCTTTGACTTCAGCATCTCCTCCACAAACCCCTCTGATGCTGAAGTGTGTTGATGTTTTTTTTTTATTTTTCTCAATCAAACCTTCCAAGGAAAGCTTACCCCTTTTAAGTAACTATTAGCATTGACTTTGTGCTTTTTTTCTCTCTCTCTTCTCCCGTAGCCTAAGTACACATGTAAAGAATGGGAGCCTAACCTGCCTCCACTCTGCCTCCCCAACCCTGAATACCTGGCCCCTGAGTACATTCTTTCGGTCAGCTGTGACTCGGCCTCCGACATGTACTCACTGGGTGTAATATTCCATGCCATCTTTAATGAGGGCAAGCCTGTTTTCCAAGTTAACAAACACGATATATTTAAGAGCTTCAGCAGGCAGCTGGACCAGGTAAAGAGATGACTGACAGTGAAGGATAAAAACTGAAAGGAAGCTAAAGCTAACCCAGTCACATTGCTAATCTAAGATGAAAAGTTTTGCCGTTACCAGTCATTGAGTCCAACATGTCTTTATAATTTGCATTTTGTTTCCTTTTTTCTATTTTAAAGCTGAGCAGCATGAGTCCAACTGTGTTGAACAAAATCCCAGAGGAGGTGAGAGAACATGTCAAAATGCTGCTCAGCGTCACCCCTAATGTGCGCCCTGATGCAGACCAGATGACCAAGGTTTGTTACATCGTTTGCATGAACAAGTCCAGAATATTACTGTGTGACAGAAAGGTTCATTTCATACTCTTCTGTTTTCCTCTTCTCTACAGATACCATTTTTTGATGACGTCGGTGCGGTGACTCTTCAGTATTTTGACTCCCTTTTCCAGAGGGACAACTTACAGAAGTCTCAGTTCTTTAAAGGCCTGCCCAAAGTGTTGCCCAAACTGCCCAAGGTGAGATTGACACATGTCCAGTAGGTAGAGATGGTCACCATTAAACCTTTAGGAGTGACTCTAGAAGAGCAAGAGGGTTTTAGTTTTAGAAGTTTATGAAATGTAGAAAATATTTAGTATAAATAAGTATAAAAAAGATAAGAGATATTCAAAATTAGAAATTATTAAAGCACCAATTTTAAAGGTACAACTTCTTCTTATTGATTATCAATATTCTAGTCTTATTACCTGATGTTGTTATTCCTCGTTCTCCACAGAGAGTGGTGGTTTACCGAATCCTGCCAGCGTTGACCTCTGAGTTCATCAACCCTGACATGGTTCCCTTTGTGTTGCCTAACGTGCTGCTGATCGCAGAGGAGTGCACCAAGGACGAGTACGTTCGTCTCATAATGCCTGACCTCACACCGGTTTTCAAGCAGCAGGAGCCAGTACAGGTAGAGACACACTGTCATCACCGGGCAGTACGGTGTAACTACTACTAGGGTCAGCTGGTATGCTTAATTCAGTTGATTTACTACTGTACATCAATAAGGACTTTCTTCCTCTGTATTTTTCTCCTTGTGCCTCCTCAGGCCAGTAACATGGTAAGTGGCCCCTGATGTCTTTTCACAGGCTTCAGTTTCATCAGCTCTGTTTGTGCGTGTTGTGTTGTTGTCGAAGAGCTCAAAGCCATTGAAACCGTGCTACTCGTCACCCATTACCTTTCGTTGTCCGCTCATCTCAGGACCGGGTGGTTCTCCTGCTTTTGTTGTTCCTGACTGCGTCTCTCTTTGTTGTGCAGATCCTGCTGATCTTCCTGCAGAAGATGGACCTGCTGCTGACCAAAACACCAGCAGAGGACATCAAGAACAGTGTGCTGCCCATGGTCTATAGAGCCCTCGAAGCTCCTTCGGTACAGATCCAGGTACAGGAGTTTAAAATGGGTTTTGCTTGGTCTCACCCTATGCCGGTGGGTTCCCTAACGTTTTCTGCACCACCTAAATTTTGTACATGGGACTTTCGTCCCCAAAGGAGGTCCCGTGCCACGGAACCACAGCCCTATGCATTATAAACCACAGAAAAGGTGACCATTAGATGTCGCCAGAACTATCTAATTAAAAACTGAATGAACAAGCAGGAGAGAAGAAAAACCCCTTTGTATGTATTTTTCTAATTTAATGTGCATTCATACAGGAGCTGTGTCTGAACATCATCCCAACTTTTGCCAACCTGATTGATTATCCATCCATGAAGAACTCGCTCATCCCCAAAGTCAAATCAGCTTGTCTGCAGACGTCCTCATTAGCGGTGAGTGTTTAGTTACTTACTGTTCTGCGTTCACAAAAAATACTAATAACTTTTGCCATAAGAACCGTTGTGTTTGCCTTTTCAGTTAGTCTGTTCTGTGTTTTGTAAATAGGTGCGAGTGAACTCCCTGGTGTGCCTGGGAAAGATTTTGGAATATCTGGACAAATGGTATGTCCTTGACGAGATCCTGCCCTTCCTGCAGCAGATCCCTTCGAAGGAACCAGCAGTGCTCATGGGTATTTTAGGTAACAGATTTGAACAGCTGTCTATAAATCCTGTAAGTAAAACCATCAAGACTATACTAGTTGTTCTTTTAAACCGCTGGTAATCTTTGTTCAGGAATCTACAAATGTACCTTCAGCCACAAAAAGCTGGGGATAACCAAAGAAAACCTCGCCTCCAAGAGCCTGCCGCATTTAATCTCACTGAGTATAGACAACAACCTCAACCTGAATCAGGTACTACACATCCTGTGTGTGTATTTGGAAAAAAACTGGAAACTGTGTTTTTTCATTGTTTAAACGTCTTCCATTTAAGTTTAACTCCTTCATGGTGGTGATACGGGAAATGCTGACACGCATGGAGTCTGAACACAAGACCAAGCTGGAGCAGCTGCACATCATGCAGGAGCAGCAGAGGTACGAAGTGTTTCGTTCCGTCACTGTGATTTTATTTCAAAATAAAAAAAAAAATCTTTTTATCATTTATATGAATGTGCTGTAATGTCTGGGGTGATTTAATTACATTTTTATTTATTTATTTATTTCTCACACAATGCCAAATTACTTTACAGAAGTATGAATATTTCAAACCCAGCCAATCAGTCAGAGGAAACCAAGAGTCCACCGACCTCCAGCAACCAGGTAGTTAATCACACAAAATAGAAACACTGCTGTATACATTTGTGTGTGCGTGTATATGTATATATGTGTATATACGTATACTGTATATATATATGTATGTGTAACTATGTATATATGTATGTATATATATATGTATGTGTAACTATGTATATATGTATGTATATATATATATCTGTATATGTATATGTTTATATATGTGTATATTCCTGATACTGAAGTCATTTAAGTTTCCCTTTTCTCTTGGAGAAGATCGAAGACATTTTCGGCAGCTCGGGTGTGAATGGAAAAGAGAATGGTTCTGCAACGACAGCATCCCAGCCTAATAGAGTAGGGAAATACATAAATAGTAAATAGTCATTTAGCACAAATTTTCTTTGTCTTATCTGGTTTTTATGTTTTCCTACCACCAGATGTCTCTTACGTTGGAGGAGAAGCAGCGACTGGCTAAGGAGCAGGAACAAGCAGCCAAACTGAGGAAGCAGCAGCCATTGGCGCCAGAGTCTGTCAAACCTGCTGCCAACAATAATTCCCAGGTACAGACGACATGCACCACTGCACACAAACAACTCTGTCACGCTGATGGACCTGATAAGGTTTTAGAGGTTTAAACAGGTTAAAGGAGGATAAAATAACATTTCCAAATAGCAGTGTTGTATTAAACGTGACTAGTACTAGTAAAAAAAAGTTTACTTTGTTTATTGTTGCAGACTAAGGATTTGACCAGTAGTCTTCTCAACAACATGACATCACTGAACAACCTTTCGTTGGCCAACACACCACGGCCAACACCAGTGCAGGGCTCCACCATGCCTCACTTCATCTCCTCTGGCCCCATGGCTGCTCCTGTCTCCAACGGCTTCAACCCCAACATGGGCTTTCAGGCAGGTGTTATGGGTATGGGTATGCGACCCACGACCCCCGGCCTTTATGGCGGCATGGCCTCCACTACTAGTACTCCAAACTTTGGTGCTCTGTCGCAGACAAACAAAGCCCCCAACATGTCAGTCCTGGACAGTCTGTTCACATCCAGCAAACCCAAAGTCACACTCAACCAATTGGGCCCCACGGCTACAACCCCAGGGACCAACTCAACTTGGGGCAATCAGTTCACTCCAGCCCAGAATGCTCAGACTCAGATGCAGGCTGTCCCTGCAGGAATGGGAGGAATGGTGACTGGCTTTGGGATGCAAGCCAACCCTTTCTTCAGTCCACAGAACTTTTCCCAACCTGTACCCACCCCTAATATGAACCAAAGTGGAATGAAACAAAGTGGGTCAGTCAACAATGACCTGAAAGACTTATTTGGCTAAATCTAAGAATGGCAGATTTCACATAGAGAATATTATTTTATGTATCTTGGACAAAGAGAGTCTTGAATTCTAAAAAACAAAACAAAAAACACTGATTGAATGTGAAGAAATGAAAAAAACATTTTTTTAAATCTAAACTTGAATCTTGCTCAGATTTTGCTGGTAAATTAACCCTCACTTATATTTCCATCCGTAGCTATTGAGGACTGAACATTTGTAGGGCCGAAGGGAAACTTCTTCTATACTGATATCGTCAAATGCTGGGGGTTTTCTTACGATTTTGTACTTGATTTTCTGGGAAGTCCATGTGTCGTAGGTAAGGTGAAGAATACCAGCTTGGTTCTAACTTTAAGAAGGTTTTTTGCGTTTATATGAGGAAAAGATTGAACTGGATGAGCTTCGCTGCATTAACCGACCAAAAGTCACACTGCCATCCCCACCTTCAGCCAACTGCACATCTTTTCTGTCCACAGACAGAACGTCAGAGCCCAGTGAAGACGACTCACCATTGTAGCACTAAACAGTAGATCTCAGAGGGAGTTGTGTGAAACATAGCTGTTCGTGAAAAAATAGCTAACAGCTAGGAATGGCGAAAGGAATCCTCATTAGTTTGTCATTGGTCATCAGGAAAGCCTGTTTTAATGAATCTATGACAGGTAAGTTGGAATAAGAGAAAATCTAACCCATTTCCTACCAACATCATGCATGGTTTTATCGGTACATGTGAGAGGAGTGGAATGATTGGAATCGCTGTGCAGCGCTATCTTTAGCCTTTGACCAGTTGGACCAGTCAAACGTGGCTTTTCTTGAACCTCTTCACTAAATCTATGTGCAAGAAATATCTTTTCTTTCACACATCGATAAGGGTCAGCTGTTTTATTTCCATATTTGGGGTTTAAGTCTTACAAACAATAAATAGCCACATGAGCAATGAACACGTTTTTTTTTTTTTTTTTTTTTAGGTAGAATGTGATGTTCGTAGGTCTCAAAGCTTTGTCTTTTTAATCCTGTTGAGAAAGCAGGTATGGGGAAGTTTAACCTCTAAAAGTTTTGTTCATCACAGAGTTCTGTTTGTAGGCAAAAACATGAACATTTTCTTCGTTTAGTTCCTTGTGGTCTTGATATACAACCAGGAAATAGATAAATTGTTTAATTCCTAATGTGCTCAAACTATTGTTACAAGTGCACTGGAGATGAGCAGGTGGGGTTTTTTTTTTTTTTCTTTTTAGCTTACGGACAGTATTAATTAACAAGTAACTCTAACCCTGAGGAGCAGGGCTGTACGTTTTAGCCAAAAAATTGTGGTTTGCTTTGGGTGTGATGCCTTAAATCAGAACGTGTGTAAAAGGAATTATCACTCATCTGTTACTGGAGTACTAATATTTTATCAGCTAACTTTTTTTGACGAGTTACTGAATAGTGATTCCCTTCTTAGTGACCAATGATCTCTAGTTTACACATCTACCTGATTGTGCTCAAAAGTAAGTTTAGAAATCATTTAATATTCCTTTTCTGTTTGTACAGTATATGAAGATGATCACACTTATTTTATTTGGTTCCTGCACTTTTTATCTATCAAGGGACCAGTGCTGACGACCTGTGGTAAAGTGTAAATATAAAGATGGTTATTTAAAATCTACTGGTCTTTCTGTGAGGGTGGTAATTGTCAAAGAGGCCTTATATGAATAGTGTGCAATAATCCTTGGTTTTTGGAGGTGGTATCTGTTAGCTCCATTAGCTTCATTTTATGTGTACTTATCCAAAACACAACACTGTTGGTTTTTTAATTGTTAAAACAGCTTAACAGCTTGAATCTGCACTCATCCCTGAGATTAAAATACGAATAAAGACAATAGCGACGTTCTCATGATTTGGATTCACCTTTGCTTGCTATTTGTGCTGGATTTGAACCACTTCATCGGATTTCCATGTACTAGAAATTCTATCAGCAGCAGGAAGCAGCTCTGCTTTTGTTAACTGTTATATTGGGTGTGTTTAGGTTTAGTTTGTCTTTTTGTCCTGACTATTGAAATATTGGTGTCTCGATCTGTTCAATGTGGAAGTCACAATGTGTGACATTTTTCTTTTTCTAATGAAGAAGGTGATGTGAGATTAGGATATTTAATCCTGAAAGTGGATATAAAAAAAAAAAAAACAGAAAAACAACTATTCTTCTACAAGTCCATTTGTAGTCCACTACTGCTGTCACATATGGTTTGTGTGGCTTGTGTTGTATGTGCTAAAGTTCTGGTCTCTGAGGTGGTGAAATCTGTACGTATAAAGAAATCTCCACAATCTGAGGCTTCTAACGTTTGGTCATTCTAGGTCCATTTTGGTAAACAAGGCTATGCATGGATGGTCTTTAGGGAACTTCGTCGTCAGCATGTTCTACTTTTTCGACTTCTGCAAAATACTAATTTAAATAATTATAATAACGTTTTCTGGCTAAGCTTTGGCTGTTATTTATTGTTGCACTAACTTTAGGTTTTGGCTCCAGGATATGTCTCTTTTTTAAAACAGTTTTATAACCTTGATGTTTTTCTGATTTGACATTATTTTGATACTTTTAGACCCTTCTGGTCCAACTTTAAGTTTAATATTGACCGTTCGGTTTCCCATTTTAGAGACATATCTGTATACCATTTCCTTTGCTACAATTGTTGCTTATTTTTAACAACAAATAAAACAAAAATGTATTTTAGGTTACTGTATTTGCTAATACCAAGCTTTCACAAATATTACATTTTTACGTTTACGATTTCAGGTGGGAAGATGACCTATCGACTGCTTATGTTCCATAATCAGCATACATGGTCTTAAACTGCAGTACGCAGTATGACACAGCACGCAATTTCGCAGAAGTCTTAGCCTTGTGTCCAGGAAATGGACATAAACAGTATAAAAAACAATAAATGGCGGCACGTTACGAGCAACTCAGACATAGACGTCTATGAGTCCCCTTCTTTTATTTGAATTTATTCAGTGAATTCGCTCATCAGTTTCTGAATGGATGAGCGAATTCACTGAATCAGTTGAAGAACCGTTTTTCAAGCTCCAAGAAGAAGTCCAGTTCCTTAGAACTAAACTCTTTGGATAACATGACCTCGATGGATAAGAATCTTCGCAGAAACCATGACAATGGCATAGTAAGATCAGCACGCACTATCAGTCAACTAACACCACATCCTTCTGTTCATTGGGCCTTCCTAGAAACCCAATTGTAACTCTAGCCTTATTTACAATCGTGCACACACCCGCTGTCAGTACACATGAGCTGCTGTGGCTCTGAGAAGTTGTCTGGATAAAGTCAACTCATGTTGCACTTGGAAAGAACAAGAACTTTCTTTCTATAAGGATAGGCTGCAGCAGACACAGTCCATTCTACCACTGGAAAAGAAGGATTTTCATCCAGAAGGTGAGGCCGTAGCCTTCGTGGTTTAATCTATCATAAATTGTGCTGTAGACTTTTATTTAAACAATAAATACAGTCTGGTTTACTTCCAAAATGTATATTTTCAGAATTTCTTGTTCAAATATTTATTCATATCTGACTTTATGTTCATGTGAATGTCAATATACATTTAACTGCAAATACATTTAACTTACGGGGCAGTGGTGGCTTAGTGGTTAAGGAAGCAGACTTGGGTCTGGAAGGTTTGAGTCCACCAGCTGCCAAGTTACCACTGAGGTGCTCTGAGCAAGGCACCGTCCCACACACTGCTCCCTGGGTGCTCAAAAAGCTGCCCACTGTTCACTTTGGGTGATGGGTGCCCTCCTGTGTCAAACTGAGGTATCCTACATCAATGAAATACTCACCCTATATAAAGTACATATGCGACGCATGACATGCTGGTATCTTAGATTTCCCAACCGTACATACTGTACATGATTGTTTTGTTTTTTAATGTATTATCGTGCATGTATGTGTGGCAAAATGTCCTAGATATACTTTCTCGTGGTCACGAGAAAGTATCTCGTGCGCACGAGTTACGCCCCCCCCTCCATGTCACTTTTTTAAAAAAAAAGACAAGTTACAACTATGTTAAACTTAAGCGCTAAGCCACCGCTGCCCAGTTAGCAGCATCCTCATAACATCCTGCTTGTCTTTTAATGCAGAACGCTCCTTAATTTCCCTTTGGAATCAACAAAGTACCAATCTGTCACAGGTATGGAAAGAACCCAACAGCAGCACCACCAAGTCAGGATTGACTCAGTCTTTATTAGAAGCAAACAGAGCACTTCAGCTAGCAAATGAGGCAGGATCTGGAATCAACAGACAGGGTTACCGAAGCTTAGACAAGGAGATGTCCTAGGAAGGTCAGGTCTGGATCAAATAACAGGTTCTGGGAAGTGTTCATGAAGCGAAGACTGGCACTCCCTGGCAAGAGTCAAGGGAGTGCAGCTGAATACAACCCCTGGCAAAAATTATGGAATCACCAGTCTCGGAGGATGTTCATTCAGTTGTTTAATTTTGTAGATAAAAAGCAGGTCGCAGACATGACACAAAACTAAAGTCATTTCAAATGGCAACTTTCTGGCTTTAAGAAACACTAAAGGAAATTCAGAAAAAAAGATGTCGTAGTCATGTGTAACATATAGTTACTTTTTTAGACCAAGCAGAAGGAAAAAAAAATATGCAATCACTCAATTCTGTAGAAAAAAAATGAAGGAATCATGAGAGAAAAAAAAAAACAATGACAAAAGAACACTTCAACACACCATTAGTATTTTGTTGCACTGTAGCAGTTGAAGGATGACTGAGGCGCAGGTGCTCTACACGTCTTTATTAGTCCGTGACAACAGCAACAGAGAGTGAACGTGGCGCTGAGCGCCAAACTCTATGGGCACTTAACACGCCCCTTTATCCATAACCCTACTGAGTGAGAGGTATGCCCCTCAGTGCCCGCCACAGCAAACATTTTTTGCCAGGGGTTGTATATAGGTAGCAGTGGTTGAGCAGATTAAAGGAACAAAGGCAAGAGTTGAACATATTCAAGGGACAGACAGTTTTGAAGGCTTCATCAACTCATTAGAGAGCCGCTCGCCGCCTCATTTGGGAGTTATTGTTCTAAAGAACGAAAAGGTAACCCCTCCCTCCATCGTCTGATAACTGCTGGGATTGTCTCTAGATTAGAGGTCCCAAATAGATGTGTTAGAAAGTGAATGGTTCCTTGGTTAAACATGACTTTATATTCTTTGTCAGTTACCATTTCACTCATTTGAATACAACAACTGAGATACTGAGCTAAAATTTGGTTTTTATCTTTTGCAGAATGCGTGATTAACTTCCCAGGCTGCCCTGCAACTATTCTGCTCAAGCTTGCCTTCATGTGTCTCACAATGCTATGCCTTTATTTATTTTTTTATGTTACTTACAACAAGCCCAGCTACAAAGGAGTCACGTTGTGGTCTTACCAGGAGAAAGCCAACCACTCCTGTCAGTGCACACAGGACAAAGTCCAGCAGCCACCTCCAGCCGAAATACAGGTAGAATCCAAAGAGGATGTCATAGTGCTAATCTGGATGTGGCCCTTTGGACAGAGACATCCTCTCAACTGTAATTCTTACAACATCACAGGGTGCACGCTTACAATTGATAAGTCGCTTTATGAAAAGGCCGATGGTGTCATTTTTCACCACAGAGATATTCATCCTGGTACTATGCCAACAGAGCCACGCCCCTGGTTTCAAAAATGGATCTGGTTTAACATGGAGTCACCCGTGTACTCAGGTGTATTACCAAGTCTTGATAATGTATTCAACTTGACCATGAGTTATCGACTTGATTCGACCATCTTAATACCTTACGGTACTCTGGAACTACTGCAATCCAAAAGAGAGTCTTTAGAACTGCCGGCAAAGAACAAGCTGCTCTGTTGGATCGTTAGTCACTGGGAACAACGTTTAGAGAGAGTACGGTACTTTCAAGAACTGAAAAAATATATCAACGTATCACTTTATGGAAACGCTTTTGGGAACGCCGTGGGAGACGATGAGTACAAGGACATTGTATCCAGTTGTAAATTTTATCTGGCATTTGAAAACTCTGTTTGCAAAGACTATATTTCGGAGAAATTATTTCTCCCTTTGGAATTAGGGACTGTACCTGTAGTTCTGGGGCCTCCGAGGAAAAACTATGAACGTGTGGTTCCTCCTGACTCATTCATTCACGTGGATGACTTTTCCTCTCCAAAACAACTGGTAGAGAGGCTGCTTTACCTTGACCAAAATAATGAGGAATACCTGAAATTGTTAGAATGGAAGAACTGGTTTAAAGTGATACATCATAAATTTGGTCATGAGGCTGCCTGCAAAACCTGTAGATACCTGCAGATAAACAGAGGCTACCAGGTTTTTCATAATCTTAATAAGTGGTACTGGGACTAACAAATTTGCCGCCTCCATGAGAAAAAGGTAATGCTTTCCTTTTTGTTTGTTTATTTGTCTTTAAATCTATTGATTAAATCACTTGGGTATGATCACCAATACATTTGATTTAAAACACTATTCTAATAAGCTGATTGTGTGTTGAATTGAACAGAAGAATTCAATTATAATCGGTGCAATTTCCCTCTAATAGCTCAGTGTCACCCGGGAAGGGGAATCGCCCCCATTTAGGGAACTACTGGTTTGTAAGAAGAAAAAAAATAGTAAAATATGTAGGGATGTCTGATAATAACCTTTTGCTGATATCCGATGTGCCGACATTGTCCAAACACTTCATTTCCGATTCTGATATCAACCGATACCCATAATGCAGCTGTTTGTCCCCTAAACGGACGTAAACGTCTCAGGACCCTACAAGCGATTCCAGCATATTTGACAAAACCAAGGTATTGCGTTATCAGGTTTTCATGATTGGAAGTAAAATCAATAACGATTCTTACAGATATTACATATAATAATATCGGGCCGATAATATCGGTCGGTCGATATTAGCGGACATCCCTAAAAATATGTATTCTATAAAAATTTGAAGAAAGAGGGGACTAACTAGGAGCATTTCTACTAATAATAAGTACTAATAATTGCTTATACTTTTGTAGTGCCTTTCAAGATACCCAAGGAACTTTACATGAGCATCAGCAAATCTAAGAGTTGGGGGAGTAAGAAACCGATGAGAGGGAGGGGGAAAGGAAACACTAAAAGGGGAGGGAAGCAGAAAATGTAGACCAAGGAGTGGGCTGACTGACAGTAAGAGTTTTGTGGCAGTTTTAAAGAGGTGGGTTTTGAGGGATACATGTTTTAATAATTAATCAAATTCAAATGGAAGGCAGTACTAAGGACAACAACAATCAAGTGCAAGGACATTTATTAAATCAGTTTAGGTTGATAACTGTTAATCAAGTATGGACTCACAGCCAGTGTTGGTGGTGGTATCTGTGTTGACTCAGCTCCTTACAGCATGAATCAATTCAGTTTAGATAGACAGTATCATATCCTGGACCTCCTTTAATCCTACTGGTCGATCTGAAAAAAACAAAGCCACGCCTCCAACTTCCTGATACGAGAGGTTAGATTTTATACACCTGTAATAATATATTATCACCTCATAACTTCAGAAGCGCTTGTGATGTGAGATTTCTACTCCTATTTCGTAGTTTCACTGTCATTTTTCTCCTTCAAGGTGAGATTGATGTTTTATTTTTCTATTTCTATTTTCCATTTTAATATTAATATGAGTAAAGATCTAATAAAATCTATAATAAAAACGTTCCTAATGCATTTGCTTGGATAATATGCAAATATCCATCCATTTTCATCCGCTTATCCGTTACCGGTCGCGGGGGTAGCAGTCTCCATGACCGCCACCCAAATCACACTGCCCCGTACCAACCCCCCTGAACCTTCCTGCGGGTGGTGAGTCCACTGTAAGGTACCAACCGTCCTAACCGGGATTCAATTTTGCCCAGGAGGTGAACCCTGGGGTTCCACACCAATGACAGAGACATTGCCTCTGGGCCAAAGCGCCACATATCCAAATATATTTAATCTATATATCTTTGTATAACCAGGAAGTTCACATTTAAAATACCACCTGGCTTAACCTCACCAGCAGCAAAATACAGTTAGAGAAAGAGGCTAAATTACACTTTAACAAGCCCATTATGTAACCAAGTACCGTAATTTCTGGAGTATTGAACGCACCTGAATGTAAACCTCAACCACTAAATTTAAAAAGAAAAATATAATTGTACATATATAGGACGCACTTCTCTATAAGCCGCAGGTGTCCACGTTGTAACATGGGATAATTACACATAAAGATTTTTTTTTTCCACTTTCAATTAAATAAATGCTTTTCTACACTGTAACACGGCTTGTCACACGTTAGCTTTTTCCTGCCCCGACCGTAGTTGGAATGCACAGGAGAGACTTAGTTATCTGCTCCAAGGCCAAAGCTAACATTAGCTCCGGGGCTAACTCCCGTCACTTCGTGCTAGTCCACAGCAGAGGTAAACAGAAACACGGAAGTTGGGCTCTTTATTATCAGCCCCACCAAGCACAGCAGAACATAAACAGCGTTTTAACAGCTCCTGTATAACTGACTCACACTTCAACATGACACGACTCAAACTGTTGTCAACTTTCGCTACTGTTATCGCGCGCCCTACGCACATACGCACACAGCCATTCACAGACAGACATATGCTACTAGTATAACACACAGTAGCCTACCAGAAAAGTCATCTTCTTCAGTGCGGATATCAAACAGCCTTGGAATTGCTCCGTCACACACTTTCTCAGTCTCTCTTTCGTTGTCGCTCTCAATGTCACTTTCGTCTCGTGTGAAAAAAGTAGCGGCTTATAGTTCGGAAATTACGGTATATGTGATGGAGATGATTTCAAATACATCCATTTAAAATCTAAAACTGCCCATAAATTTACCTTGGTGAGTCACATGTCATTCTGCAGAAGAATCTTCAGGATGTACAAGGTAAAGGGTGAAGACAAGACTTTAAATTACCTGTGTATCCTATTACCTGTATATCTTATTACCATTATAAAAAAGGACCTGGTGTCCTAGTACATTTCTAAAATGTCGACTGTAACTATAGCAAGAAGACATTTTTAGTTATGAACGTCATTTGAAATCATCTGAAGAAATTCTGCAATCTTAGTGGATTATTTTGTTGTTGTGATGATCAAATATGCACTGTCTCTGCAATGCAACATACAAAAATGAGAATATGTGACTAGATTTGGATAATCTGAATCTAGAATTGGATATCAAAAGTCAAGTCTTATCTTATTTTTATAGAAACAATAAAAGGCCTTGTTGTCTATTTTATACTTGGATCAAACTTACAAAACGGGCTGCTGACTGAAGTCCATTTTAATATTTAATGTGTGTAGTGTTATATGGATTCATTTGGCCCTCATTGTTTTGTACTTCTGAATGAGATAACTGTAAGTGTTATTTTCCTGCCCACATTTTGAATTAAGAGGTTTACAGTCGGCATTTAAGTAAATAACATGTAATGTTTCGAATAAACCTCTAATCTCCCTGAAAGCTCATGTTTTCAGACAGACTTTTCCTCATTGTATGTGGCCCTCAAATATGAAAAGTAGTTATTTTGGTCAGAACCTGTTTAGATGTATTAGTGTGCCATGTGAAGATATGAAAAGTCTATATTTTATGTTAGTAATTCAGAGAATCTCAGGCTGAGAGGTCGACACACCAAGCGTTAATCTCACCTTGTAAAAAGTTTGAACACCCTGGGTTTACTGTAATTCAGTGGTTCCCAAATTATTTTATTTATTTTTTATTTTTTTATGGCTGCACACCCCTTCGATATCTCAACATATATTGTATATATGTACACAGTTGACACAAAAAATATTCACTGGAGAAAGAGAGATTGGTCAAAAATTGATCTCACAAAATGGCAGCTAACAAATGTAGTCACACACACATACTCAGTTACTGTTATTGATTCTAACCATGTATGAGAAATACATTGACCTGCCAAAGACATTAGTATTAGCTGCTAAATCCCTTCCTTTTTTCTTAAATGTGAGAGTAACAGTTGTATTGATGAGAAAAAAAACAAAGGATTAATGGATTAAATGACTAATACTAGTGATAGAAGTACTACAGTACTAAAGGGCTCTAGGATAATAAGGATTTAGCTCCAGCACATGACAATAACTAATGTGTGTTGTGGATTAGTATACAGAATATAGTTCTACTCACTAAGCAGATCTCTTTTGTCTTTTGTCTCTGCAGAGGTGAGCGAGCTCACACCAAGGCTTTCTGATGATCACTCTGCGCCACGTTGCCTTTGGCTTTGCCATAATTCTCAGTATCTTTGTCATTTTTCTGACATATTACAAACCTAATTTCAAGCTCCCTGCTTTGACCTTTTACCAGGAGAGGGTGAACATCTCCTGCCAATGTGCTAACACAAGCTGTCCCTCAGACCTCCAGGTCACACCCACTCCCACTGATGTCAAGAAAAACCAGGTGGACACTAGGCCTGACACCATCGTGTTGCTCTGGATGTGGCCCTTTGGCGTCAAACACCCTCTCAGCTGTGATGAATTTAACATCACAGGATGCCATGTGACCGTTGACAAGTCGGTTTACCATCAAGCCCACGGGGTTCTCTTTCACCACAGAGACATTGGTAACACAGTCATGCCAACAGAGCTCCGCCCCTGGTTTCAAAAATGGATCTGGTTTAACATGGAGTCACCCGTGTACTCAGGTGTATTACCAAGTCTTGATAATGTATTCAACTTGACCATGAGTTATCGACTTGATTCGACCATCTTAATACCTTACGGTACTCTGGAACTACTGCAATCCAAAAGAGAGTCTTTAGAACTGCCGGCAAAGAACAAGCTGCTCTGTTGGATCGTTAGTCACTGGGAACAACGTTTAGAGAGAGTACGGTACTTTCAAGAACTGAAAAAATATATCAACGTATCACTTTATGGAAACGCTTTTGGGAACGCCGTGGGAGACGATGACTACAAGGACATTGTATCCAGTTGTAAATTTTATCTGGCATTTGAAAACTCTGTTTGCAAAGACTATATTTCGGAGAAATTATTTCTCCCTTTGGAATTAGGGACTGTACCTGTAGTTCTGGGGCCTCCGAGGAAAAACTATGAACGTGTGGTTCCTCCTGACTCATTCATTCACGTGGATGACTTTTCCTCTCCAAAACAACTGGTAGAGAGGCTGCTTTACCTTGACCAAAATAATGAGGAATACCTGAAATTGTTAGAATGGAAGAACTGGTTTAAAGTGATACATCATAAATTTGGTCATGAGGCTGCCTGCAAAACCTGTAGATACCTGCAGATAAACAGAGGCTACCAGGTTTTTCATAATCTTAATAAGTGGTACTGGGACTAACAAATTTGCCGCCTCCATGAGAAAAAGGTAATGCTTTCCTTTTTGTTTGTTTATTTGTCTTTAAATCTATTGATTAAATCACTTGGGTATGATTCAGAAATTTCAGTGCGCGCATACAATAAAACTTGTGTCTTGTGTATGGGAAACCCTGTACCCTTAATGTTCTCCGTAATGGAATAGCTTAGAGTTACGGTCATCGGTCAATAATGTGGAATTTGTTCACGCAAACACCAAAAAGATCCTCATTGGACTTTAAAGTACCTTACTGTAAAACTAGCCTGTCGTAGGAAATGTAGTGTTGATAATGAGGGTCAACTTTTTGCTAATATCCGATATGCCGATATTGTCCAGACGCTTAATTTCCGATTTCGATATCAACCGATACCGATATATCCAACCGTTTTCCCCCTGAAACTGCGGTAAACGTCTCAGGACCCTACAAGCGATTCCAGCATATTTGACAAAACCAAGGCATTGCGTTATTAGGTTTTCATGATTGGAAGAAAAATCAATAACGATTCTTACAGATATTACATATATATTGTATATATTACATATCGGGCCGATAATATCATTTTATCAATATTAGCGGCTATCCCTAAAAATATGTATTCTATAAAAATTTGAAGAAAGATGAGGCTAACTAGGAGCATTTCTACTACTACTAATAATAATTAGTAACCTATAAATTTACCTTGGTGAGTCACGTCATTCTGCAGCAGAATCTTCAATACATACAAGGTAAAAGGTGAAGACAAGACAAGTCTTCTTATTACCTGTATATTTTATAACCTGTATATTTTATTACCTGTATATCTTATAACCTGTATATCTTATTACCATTATAAAAAGGACCTGGTGTCCCAGCCCATTTTTAAAATGTCAACTGTAACTATAGCAAGAATTCATTTTTAGTTATGAATGTCATTTGAAATCATCTGAAGAAATTCTACAATCTTAGTGGATTTAATTTTTTTTGTAATGATCAAATATGCACTGTCTCTGCAACGCAACATAAAAAAATGAGAATATGTGTCAAAAGTCAAATCTTGTCCTATTTTATAGAAATAATAAACAATAAAAGGCCTTGTTGTCTATTTTATACTTGGATCAAACTTACAAAACGGGCTGCTGACTGAAGTCCATTTTAATATTTAATGTGTGTAGTGTTATATGGATTCATTTGGCCCTCATTGTTTTGTACTTCTGAATGAGATAACTGTAAGTGTTATTTTCCTGCCCACATTTTGAATTAAGAGGTTTACAGTCGGCATTTAAGTAAATAACATGTAATGTTTCGAATGAACCTCTAATCTCCCTAAAAGCTCATGTTTTCAGACAGACTTTTCCTCATTGTATGTGGCCCTAAAATATGAAAAGTAGTTATTTTGGTCAGAACCTGTTTAGATGTATTAGTGTGCCATGTGAAGATATGAAAAGTCTATATTTTATGTTAGTAATTCAAAGAATCTCAGACTGAGAGGTCGACACACCAAGCGTTAATCTCACCTTGTAAAAAGTTTGAACACCCTGGGTTTACTGTAATTCAGTGGTTCCCAAATTATTTTATTTATTTTTTATTTTTTTATGGCTGCACACCCCTTCGATATCTCAACATATATTGTATATATGTACACAGTTGACACAAAAAATATTCACTGGAGAAAGAGAGATTGGTCAAAAATTGATCTCACAAAATGGCAGCTAACAAATGTAGTCACACACACATACTCAGTTACTGTTATTGATTCTAACCATGTATGAGAAATACATTGACCTGCCAAAGACATTAGTATTAGCTGCTAAATCCCTTCCTTTTTTCTTAAATGTGAGAGTAACAGTTGTATTGATGAGAAAAAAAACAAAGGATTAATGGATTAAATGACTAATACTAGTGATAGAAGTACTACAGTACTAAAGGGCTCTAGGATAATAAGGATTTAGCTCCAGCACATGACAATAACTAATGTGTGTTGTGGATTAGTATACAGAATATAGTTCTACTCACTAAGCAGATCTCTTTTGTCTTTTGTCTCTGCAGAGGTGAGCGAGCTCACACCAAGGCTTTCTGATGATCACTCTGCGCCACGTTGCCTTTGGCTTTGCCATAATTCTCAGTATCTTTGTCATTTTTCTGACATATTACAACCTTAATTTCAAACTCCCTGCTTTGACCTTTTACCAGGAGAGGGTGAACATCTCCTGCCAATGTGCTAACACAAGCTGTCCCTCAGACCTCCAGGTCACACCCACTCCCACTGATGTCAAGAAAAACCAGGTGGACACTAGGCCTGACACCATCGTGTTGCTCTGGATGTGGCCCTTTGGCGTCAAACACCCTCTCAGCTGTGATGAATTTAACATCACAGGATGCCATGTGACCGTTGACAAGTCGGTTTACCATCAAGCCCACGGGGTTCTCTTTCACCACAGAGACATTGGTAACACAGTCATGCCAACAGAGCTCCGCCCCTGGTTTCAAAAATGGATCTGGTTTAACATGGAGTCACCCGTGTACTCAGGTGTATTACCAAGTCTTGATAATGTATTCAACTTGACCATGAGTTATCGACTTGATTCGACCATCTTAATACCTTACGGTACTCTGGAACTACTGCAATCCAAAAGAGAGTCTTTAGAACTGCCGGCAAAGAACAAGCTGCTCTGTTGGATCGTTAGTCACTGGGAACAACGTTTAGAGAGAGTACGGTACTTTCAAGAACTGAAAAAATATATCAACGTATCACTTTATGGAAACGCTTTTGGGAACGCCGTGGGAGACGATGACTACAAGGACATTGTATCCAGTTGTAAATTTTATCTGGCATTTGAAAACTCTGTTTGCAAAGACTATATTTCGGAGAAATTATTTCTCCCTTTGGAATTAGGGACTGTACCTGTAGTTCTGGGGCCTCCGAGGAAAAACTATGAACGTGTGGTTCCTCCTGACTCATTCATTCACGTGGATGACTTTTCCTCTCCAAAACAACTGGTAGAGAGGCTGCTTTACCTTGACCAAAATAATGAGGAATACCTGAAATTGTTAGAATGGAAGAACTGGTTTAAAGTGATACATCATAAATTTGGTCATGAGGCTGCCTGCAAAACCTGTAGATACCTGCAGATAAACAGAGGCTACCAGGTTTTTCATAATCTTAATAAGTGGTACTGGGACTAACAAATTTGCCGCCTCCATGAGAAAAAGGCAATGTTTTCCTTTAAAATAATTTCTAGGTTTTGGTGGTCGCCTGGCAATTAGGGAAGCGAAATTATGTTAGGAATATCACAGGTTAGAATCCACCAGCCCACAGGTGCCACTGAGGTGCACTGAGCAACTGAAACAGTTCATGCCAGTAGGTCAGCAAATGTTCCTGGAAATGTGCTGCCAACTCACTACAAACAGTTTCAGTATGTTTTTCATGTGATGTTTACTTTTGGTATCCATGGGAAACGTGGATTCAGCTCTGTACAATACAAGTCAATTATCTTAGATGCACTATTATATCCTAGACTTCCCTCTACTAGTCTAACTGGAAAAAAAAAATGCCACGCCTCAACTTCCTGAGGTTGGATTGTATGCACCTGTTATATTAATCATCGCCTAACTTCAGAAGCGCTTGTGGTGTGAGATTTCTACTTGTATTAGTTTCACAGTCATTTTTCTCCTTCAAGGTGAGATTGATGTTTTACTTTTCTATTTCTATTTTCCATTTTGCTTATATTAATATGAGTAAAGATCTTATTGTGTTTTGTTTTTTTTTCAATATTTGCAATTCTTTGTCTTTGTTTAACCAGGACATTCACAGTTAAAATACCACCTTGCTTAACCGCACTAGCAGCAAAAACAAAACACAGTTACAAAGTACATATGTAATATGTAATGTAATGACTAAAATCCACCAACTTTTTTGAGTTGTACTTTTGATTTTTGATTGATTTTGATTTGATTATCACATGCATTTACACACATAATAAGGACAAAAAGGGGCAGTGGTGGCCTAGTGGTTAACGAAGTGGACTTATTTTTCACCTTCGAGAGCAAGAACAGCTTTCTGTTAATGTTTTAATGTCGAGTAGGGCTTTATTCATCCCCCTTGGGGGAAACATACTACGAAATATAGTAACGAAATATAGTAAAAATACCACTTTTAGTCCAGTGCTGACAGAGACATAATGCCATTGTAGACTAGAAATATACATTCAGTAGTAGATGTGTGGAGGTGTGGAGAGACTGGTCTAACAACATTCTGTTTTTTGTAAAAAAAACAACATGGCGTAAAACAAGGGCAATCACATACATCTGTACAGGTACTGTTATTGATTCTAATCATCTATGAAAAATTCATTTATCTGCCAAAAACATTAGCATTAGCTGCTAAATCCCTTCCTTCTTTTTTAAATGTGAGAGTAACAGTTGTATTAATGAGAAGAAAAAAAACACGGATTATGTATTATGGATTATGTTATATTACATGGATTAAATGACTAATACTAGTGATAGAAGTACTACAGTACTAAAGGGCTCTAGGATAATAAGGATTTAGCTCCAGCACATGACAATAACTAATGTGTGTTGTGGATTAGTATACAGAATATAGTTCTACTCACTAAGCAGATCTCTTTTGTCTTTTGTCTCTGCAGAGGTGAGCGAGCTCACACCAAGGCTTTCTGATGATCACTCTGCACCACGTTGCCTTTGGCTTTGCCATAATTCTCAGTATCTTTGTCATTTTTCTGACATATTACAAACCTAATTTCAAGCTCCCTGCTTTGACCTTTTACCAGGAGAGGGTGAACATCTCCTGCCAATGTGCTAACACAAGCTGTCCCTCAGACCTCCAGGTCACACCCACTCCCACTGATGTCAAGAAAAACCAGGTGGACACTAGGCCTGACACCATCGTGTTGCTCTGGATGTGGCCCTTTGGCAGCAAACACCCTCTCAGCTGTGATGAATTTAACATCACAGGATGCCATGTGACCGTTGACAAGTCGGTTTACCATCAAGCCCACGGGGTTCTCTTTCACCACAGAGACATTGGTAACACAGCCATGCCAACAGAGCCACGCCCCTGGTTTCAAAAATGGATCTGGTTTAACATGGAGTCGCCGGGAAACTCTGGTAAAATCCCCAACCTTGATAATTCATTCAACTTGACCAGTGGTTTTCGTCTGGATGCATCTATGCCTATGCCTTATGGGAGTATGGAGCAACTACCATCTGTGAAAGAGTCTTTTGAACTACCAACAAAGACCAGGCTCATCTGTTGGGTTGTGAGCAACTGGCACGAGAGGTTAGAACGAGTCAAGTACTTCACGGAATTGAAACAATATATCAACCTGACACTTTATGGAAGAGCTTTTGGAAAACCCCTAAATGACCACGACTATGAGAACCTGGTGTCTAGCTGTAAATTCTATCTCAGTTTTGAAAACTCTATATACAAAGACTACATTACGGAAAAATTATATCGCCCCATGATGTTAGGCACGTTGCCTGTAGTTCTGGGTCCTCCCAGGGAAAATTATGAGAGGCTTGTCCCTCCTAACTCCTTCATTCACGTCAATGATTTTCCTTCTCCAAAGGAACTGGTGGACAGGCTGCTTTACCTCGACAAAAACGACAATGAGTACCTGAAATACTTTGAGTGGAGAAAATGGTTTACAGTGACAAGGGCAAAGTTTGCTCAGGAAGCCTGCTGCAGGGCATGCGTTTACATACGCAACAACAAAGGCTACCAGGTTTTTGCTAGTATTAACAAATGGTACTGGGGCTGATGCTGCTCAGAAAGGCGAGATGAGAATGTGAAAGAGTCTCACTGAGTGAGTACATAAGGAATTTGAATTAAATGTTTTGGGGCACACAGGGGAAAACGTTGTGTTAGAAACAAATCTGTAACAATGCCTGAGAGTACAGTTAGCTGAAGACAAGGACGACAAATAATGTATGAGGAGTAATTAAGTGTCTATTGGTCACAGCAAGGTGTCGTAAAAACCCGATCAATTTACTGTGAAAAAATTCAAAGTTCAGTTAATTGGTCTGAAACCCAATATTTGTTTTTTTTTTTTTTTTTATTTATCTAAGTGACAGTGGCAGAACGAACCATTTCATTTTAATTTTAATTTTAGTTTTATTACATTTTCCAACTAAAAAAGAGGCGGACTTGCTTTGGAGGCAGCTGTTTAGATTATGTGTGTTTGTCTTGCAAATATATTAAATTATATTAAACTGCCTTTGCCCTAGAGCAGGGGTCGGCAACACGTGACAACCCGCATAAATGCAACACACTATAGTTTTTTATACACAGGATTGTGTATTGGATTGTGATGTAAAATCTCTATAGTGGCGCTGGGATATTTCTAGTTTTTATTTTCATGTTTTCGTCACAGCGATATAATCCACAGGAGCTGTTGGTTTTACAGAGACCTGTTTACAATTAAATTGTTGAATTTGACATCAGGCCATGTTTTGTTGGGCCCTAGTTACTTTTTCTTATGCCAGTTTTATTTTATTCTATATTTTTTGTTTGATGTATTATTGTTGGGTTTTTTTGTATTATCTCCAAGGTCATGTGACAATTAAAGATTCTTGATTCTTCTTGAATATCTTGTCATTTATTAAAGAAACCAGAAACATGAGCTTAAACATTGCTCAAGTTTATCCTCGACTGACAATGATTCAATTTCAGTAAATTATCATGGGGAAAAAATCCAAAGGACATTCAGGGTAAGTTTACTAAAAATAATGCTAACGGTGGGCTGCATGCAAGACTTTCTGTGGTATTTATGATGCATTCCATGCTGTGGCATTAACATAGTATACATAGTAACATAGTATATTTGAAGATCTTCTTCTCTATCCTTTCTTTCTCCAGAGATGAGCAATGTCTTATCTAGGCTGCCAGGTGAGTTCCCTGCGCATGTGTATCCTCATCTGTATCGTAGTGCTGTTGTTTGTTTGCAGTCGTTTTTGTGACGTATTACAAGCCTGATGTTATGGTACCATCTTTAAACTTCTATATGGATGGAGCCAATAACTCTGGTCAGCCTCCACGGGCGACTGAACTCCAGATGAACACTGTTGTCTTGATCTGGATGTGGCCTTTTGACGTTGAGCACGACATCCAGTACCACACATTTAACATCACAGGATGTCGAGTGACAGCTGACAAGTCGGTTTATCATAAAGCCCATGGGGTTCTCTTCCACCACAACGACATCAAAAAGACGACCATGCCAACAGAGCAACGTCCCAGGTTTCAAATGTGGATCTGGTTCAACATGAAATTGCCTGCAAACGTGGCTATGAAAGCTAATAACGCAAAACTGTTTACCCAGCGACTGCTCGGATGGAAATGTTAACCCTAACCATAACCCACAGTGGATATTAGTAAAATGAATGCAGATTGTAAATAAAATAACTCAATGTGTATTCTGTAAATTATGTGATGGCATTTTTAAAGACAGCAGTTTCACAAGTTATGCATTTATTTAGTATGTTTTGGGCTTTTTGGATCGCTGAAAATGAAATTTAAATCAAACAAACAAAAATAACAAGGACAGAACTGAAAATGACTCAACAAACGTTATTTGATGCTAACTTTAATTTTACAAAATATAGTACATTTGATCCTAATTTTCTTCATCTTCTCAAGTATAGTGCACGCAAACGAAATGCCAATAGTAAAACGTTTATTACCATCTAGTGGCCACTATAACATATTGCAGTAACGTTAGAGCACATCGAAATGTAAAAACAATTACGGGTAAACATTGATTAGCTATTTCACAATATTTAAATAATATTTTAATTGGTGGTTTTTGTGTGTGTTTTTTAAACAAAAATGTACGTATAATACTGCAAACTTCTAGCATTTTCTGTCAGGCATTACCTACTTTTGATTGGTTGAAAAACACGTACAGTGAATACCATGTTACAGTTAAAACTTTAAAGTAATGTGAGCTAATAAAGTAACAAGGTATTTTACACTGAAGTTTTTTTTTATTTTATCGACATAAAGATTAAAAAAGTTAGTGTATAATAGATTTATTTTCCACATATAAATTGTATCACGTGAAGCAGAATGGCCCGTACCACGTCAATCTAGTGCGGATAATCAAAATACGGTATGGAATATACGTTTTTTTCATTGCCACTGCTTGGCGTTATATAGATATAGATTCTCTCTCAAAATTGTGAGCTGTTTTTAAATGTTACTAACAGCAAATATTTGGTTACGCGGCTAAAAAAGTATATTCCTTTCAGATGCGACGACCCCCCCTCACCCCGACCGAAATAGTTTCGCCTGTTGTGTCCTCAGAGCCAGCTGGTGAACGAAGGACCTTTAAACAGAAAAACGAACTGTACTCGACGGTGTCGAATCTCCTTTCAGGGTTGAATCAGTTCTAGAGTTCTCTCCCTTTTCAGAGACTTTAATGAGGCAAGTCTCCATTTTATCTGACACTTGTCTTCCTTTAATGACTGTGAATAATTCGTGCTGTTGTTTTTAAGCGTTTTTTTTAGAAAGATATTTGCCTTGCCCTTAAGCGGAAGCTTGCTTACATACAGGCGTCGAAGGAATAGGCTCATGTCGGAGTGTTTTCTGTAACAAAGATTGCAAGAATCATATTCGGTGGGCTTTTTGATTTACGTATTAGTATGTGTAACTTTGCGTACAGAGAAGCTCTCCGCGCAGTGTGGAGTGAACTGCGAACTCAAATGTAATTTACAGTAAGGGTAAAATGCATTTAGATAACTTTCTTCGATTAAATTGGTATATTCGCAGCATCTACCCACATGGAGTTCTTGTTTTGGCCTGTACTCGAGATCACGTGTACCCTCCTCCCTGGCGTGTGTTGGTATTTTTTTATGTACATGTGCACAGCTCATGTAACCAAAGAGTTTCCATGTAGGGATGACAGACAGGAAGGTTCAGCCAGTGGCGAGAGTCCTAGCGCAGTAAGATCCGCCTCCTTGATCCAGTGTTTTGTTTACATTGTGCTGCAGTCGGATATGATCTGAAAAGATCTTTGGTTCTTTGTTTCTTCTGTGACAGCATGTCACCCCTAAGTGGTAGACACGTGTAGGCATATTCACTTTTGAGTAATCTACTATTATACAGAGACTAGAAATTGTTAAATTACTCCTATAAACATGTAACCCTATAACACGTGAAGCCTGTAGTCCTTACTGTAGACATTATTCCTTTTGTCACCCTGCCAGATAATCTCTACAAATTACCCCTCTTTCTTTTGCTGTGACCTAGCTGCCAGGTCTAGCAGATGATGTAATTATTAAGGTCTAAATGGGGGAGGGGTGGAGGGGACACAAGTCGTACACCATACTCACACTCAGGGGCTATCTTTAACCATGAAGAAGAGTGAGGGAGTTTGCCTTCATTTTTGGCAGCAGATAAGTGAGACCAGAGACTGGGGGGTGGGGGTGGGAAGGTTGGCAGGCACAACCAAGTGTCACTTTGTTTGCACTGTTTGTCCTCAATAACGTTAGAACAGCAGACTGTAGACTGTTACATTTTTAAAACCATGTACGAAGTATGAATACTAATTCCTTTAAATTGAAAAATGTAATCTATCTCTTTCTTATCTTGGATTCTTCATGGACCTGTTTAACAGGATAATTTCAACTGTCACTGCGTCCTCTTTTGTCTCATGTTGTCCTGGAGACAATAGCCCAGTACACAGTGTCCTTGTTTAACCTCGAGAGCCATCTTTTTTTGTATAACCCTGGAGTATTTGTTGACAAATTACCTTTGAGCTGTAGGGTAAAAACACCTGAAAGCTGAGTTTCTAATTGTGATAGGTCAATAGGTGTCTGGAAAATATTCTCTTGGAAATGTTGAATCAGTCCCAGACTGGAAAAAATTAAAGCTGTCAATTCAATGTTGGCTAAAAATATCTAAGTATTAGCTAATTTATTACAAAATAGTTTGAAGAATTGCCAAACAACAAATAAGAGCAAGTAAAAGTAACTGAAAAGCTTAGAGTTTACATAAGGAACATAAAGATTAGACAATTTGAAGATTTATTATGGTTTTCAGATGAATTAATTAAATAGATACATAACATTTGATAAAGGTAAAGGTTTAGCACACTGGTAAAGGTTTAAAGTTAATATTCTAATCTGTCAAATGCTGAAGGATTGTAGTTTTTCCCCTTGTAGCTAATAGCTTGTGAAATTGACTGACACACGTGTTGTTTTTTTTCCTAGCAATAAAAGACATTTTTTTCAGCTTAAGTAAACAAAGGTTCACATGTTCTGAATACTCCTAAAACTTTTAATGGTCCCTCATTGGTCAGATAACATACAGTTCTGGTAGAATACAAGTAATGCCCACCATCTGAGAATCTCTGCCGATCTTCTCATAGCTAACATGCCTCTGAACGACAAGCGACTCAACTCAACATCCAGCGGTGAGGACCTGGGCAGTGATGTGGAGTCAACTTCAGAACGCTACGACAGCCTGACCTCGTCCAGTGACCTGGACTGCTCCAGAGAAAGTTTCACCAGTGACTGTTCCAGCAAGCACTGCACTCCCTCTTGTGAGTATAACTGCTGTAGTTTTTCCTAGACGTCCAGGCCCAAAAAATTATATTATTCCTTTTGTTCTGGTGGCCATGTTTGTTGTCCCTCTTTTACAAGTAGAAATCTTTTAAATAAGGCATGGTATATTTTCACAAAACTGGTTTACCATTTGTCCATGATCCAAGGTTGAATCAACAGCCTTAAATGTGTTGATTTACAAGAGAACAAGTGGTAATAAACACAGATCTTAATGGTTTTCCCATTAGGAATACTATCACTATTAATTTTTTTTCTTTTAGCATAGCTTTTAACGTTAATTTGCTACTTTTTTTTTACTAAAAAGAGATTCTGTCTTTCTCATGGTATTCCTGTTAACAGGAACATAGTTAAACTTTACCTAATTTCAAACATTATATCCCATCACATCCATGAAAACTGACAAATATCAATTTTATCTCAACAAAATTGTTAGCCTAATTTGAACAAAGAACTAGGCTTTTCTTGCTCTGTTGGCTTCATAATATAACTAAGGTTAATAGGAACATTACCACCCTTAGAAGTAATTATTACATTTTAAATAGATGTAAACGTTTGACCATAGGCCTATATTTTAAACCAATCAATAAATAAGGTCTAGAACATTAAAATTAAATGTTTGTTTCTCACTGCTTCCATCTTTGTGGCTCATAGCAAGTCCCCCCAAAACACTAACTCTGGATGAGGTCATTAAGTCCGCCAGGGACCTGTCCAGACTCAGTCTGGCCCATGAGATCACCGTGAACCAGAACTTTCAACTCGAGCCCATTGGCCTACCTCAGGAAAGGTAAATAAGATATACATATATGCTTATACCTATGAGCCAAGTTTGATGAAAATAAATAATTTAAATGTATATAAAAACCCTCTAACTGCAATATACTGCAATACTTTGACAGTATTCACAGTGAGCTAATGCATGTTTGTGGTTCTCCTCCTAGTCTAATGAAGTTAATTAGGGATAACGTTCACAAAGCTTTTTGGGACATCCTGGAGTCCGAGCTGAGCGACGATCCACCTGAATATGGACACGCCGTCAGATTATTGGAGGAGATCAGAGAGGTGAACAAATATGAGCCAGCTACTGAATTCATTCTACAAAAACTGCTACTAAAGTTATCAACGAAATCCTTCTCTGACTGAGGTTGAGGAGAAGGATGTGTTTTAGTACCTTAACAAAATCCAGAAAAAACAAGGAACCCACCTACATAGTATTATATTTAGTGGTGATAAGTTACAATAGCTGATGGTAGCTAACTCAAAGGGAATATTTTAAAATAAAAGTAAGATAAAATTACAACTGCCTTAAGCAACAGTTGTAGAGAGAAGGCTTTTAGACTTAAAAGACTAAAACTTTTTAGTTTTGCCACAAACAATATTTCCAGTATGATATTTATATCAAAGTAATTACAACTACAAACAAAGCTGTGCTTGTTGAGCATTATCATGTAAACCTATGAAAATTACCTCAAATGTCAAGACTCAGCTAGTGGGGAATTTTAGTTTGGAATTTTTTTTAAATTGTATATGGATTCAGTTATTCACAAAGTGTCTGGTTTAAAATCACTTGGTTGAAATTTCTTTTTCACAGATCCTCCTGTCATTCCTTAATCCTGGAGCCAATCGAATGAGAACCCAAATCATGGAGGTTCTGGACATGGACCTGATCCGTCAGCAGGCTGACAACGATGCTGTCGACATACAGGGCTTGGCCTCCTACATCATCACCACCATGGGCAAGATGTGTGCACCCGTCCGGGACGAAGACGTCAAGAAACTGCAAGAGAGTACAGAAAATATTGTAAAACTTTTCAGGTAAGTGCCATGAAAAGATATGATTATCAGTGACTGTGACGCTGTCAAATCACAATGTCTGGATTTCTCTTTCATCTTCAGGGAGATTTTCCGCATCCTGGACCTGATGAAAGCAGATATGGTGAACTTTAGGATCGTAAACCTGCGGCCGGTGCTGCAGAGGCAGAGTGTTGAATATGAAAGAGCCACATTCCAGAGCATCCTGGAGAAAACACCAAGTACCCAACATTTTGACCATTCCTAAATGAACAACTAATTTTTATGATTAAATATTGTGTGAATGATCTCTAATTTGAAGTACTTTTTAAATAGTCCTGGCTGTGTTCATAAATGCTGACCTTTTAGTTTTTACTCACTTTTAGCTCAAATAAACAACACATGCTCTAATAATTTTTATTTAATTGGGCAATTAAAAGCCATTTAGATGTTATGTGACTATCATTATCTGACATCAGTAATTGTATTATTACTGTTAATAAAGTATGAACTACTGTACAGTTAAAAGAGCAGCAACTATTTTATTTTTAATGTAAACATAATTGATGTTTTCTGTTTAACATTGAATAACTCTCTGTGATCTCAGTCTGCCTCGTGAATTAGGACCATATGCATATATTACATGCTGAATTCACTGCAACAACTTTTGTTTTTCCAGATGCTTTGAACAACACCACGGCCTGGATTAAGTCAGCACTAGAGGAACTTCAAGCATCCATCCCCTCAGACCGGAGTCAAGGTAAAGACCAGAGGATTGTACCCGGGCCTCTGCAGATACTCGGTGTCGCCTTCCTTCAGATCCTTACATGGGACTACAATAGAAACCCATTGCCTGAGGTAAGGCTGTGGTGAATTTGTATTTGTAAAACATTAGCTTCATTAGCCTGAATGGCTGCATTTGGCAGATCATTGTTAGTTTATGATATAAAATGGAATTGTTACCTTGTTATCAAAAGTAAGGGGCAGGCCCCCTTTAGAGTTGCAAGGGGACAGTAACAAAAATGCAAAAGTCAGGTTGTGGAATGTGTAAAAGCTGGACGGAGATGACCTGCTCTTCAAAAACTCCAATCAAAAAACAAAAAGTAAAAGACAAAGATTTAGATTTACAATAAAGACAATTGTTATTGTTATGAAATCATTAAGAGAGGCCATTGTATCTGGCACTGTTACATAGAAAAGTGTCTGTATAGAGTTGTCAGCTTGTTGATGTGATGAACTGCAGGCTCTTATCCTTTCTCTCTATTTTTTTATCTAATATCTCTTTCATTTCATTCTCCTTCAGACCTGGATAACAGACGAGGTCCGTCTGCGAGAGATCCAGTGGAAGCTGCAGCAGCATCAGGCGCTGACTGAGGTGCTTCTCATTGTCCACAGCACCATCGGTGGACCCATCCAAGGTGTGTCGGCCTTGTCTGAGCGCTTGAAGAGGATGATCACAGTGCTGCTGGATGGGATGCACAGTGGGTCAGTTTCACCTTTTGCTGTGTCTTAAGTCTATGATATGTAACATACTACTGGTTCTTTTGTACTAAAAGCCTGACACGCTTTTTTTTTTATATTCCTATGTAGAGACCTCAACCTAAAGGAGGCACTAGAGGGCATCAGTGCACAGATCTGCTGTGAGCTCAACAAGTCTTTAACTGAGAGAAACTACCCACCACTGACCCCAGCACTTCAAGGGACACTCAAGGGGCAGATCTGCAGCATCACTGAGGAGGACAATCCTATCCGAACATTAGTTGGTAAGTCTGAGAAAAATGATCTTAATATACATGGCTTTTAAACACCGGGGGGTTTTTTCAAATGTTTTTCATTCTTTAAATGTTTCTGCAGAGGACCGTGTGCAGCAGTACTTCGTGGCACTCATCTGTGATCCTAAACCCCAGGCCAAACTTGAACAGGTACCAGCTGGCCTGACAGCCATCAAATCTGAACTGGCAGTGATTGGAGCCAGGTATATCAGCCTGGTCAACTACAACAAAGCCGTGTACGGACCTTTCTACGCAGATATTATCAGGAAGCTGCTCTTCAACAGCCATCCTCCTGCAGGAAGCTCAACAGAGAGCATGGCACAGGAGTCCCTTTCCTCTGACTGAATACAAACTCTGGCTCGTTCAGTCTGAGAAATCCTTTTAGCCCACAAGATGGAGCTGAAGATAAATAATAGACAAGTATGAATCCTCTTCTGATCAGCCAGTGTTCTCCAACAGTTGGAGTTAGCTTGTTGTGTTATTGATTTAGTTTATATCACCACATTCAGCAGTGGAGGTACTGCTTCATTGAGGGGCAGGTCATAAAATTTGAGTCATGTTATAGTAATAAATGTTATTAGATATGAACGTTCATATGTGAACCCTGCAGCCATGTTTGTTTTTGTAAAGTCAAACTGCTGATATACATAAAGGGAGATAAACAAGGGCAGGGCTATAAGTGATGCTCCAGTGAGCTTTATGAAGCAAAGAGGAATCAATTTTTTAAAAAATGTAAGAAATAGCAGTGAAACGTTGGTCTTTGATGACATAATAATGTAGAACCAAAAAGCCCTTTTTATTGTCTCCACTATTTAATCTAGTTTCATAGCAGATCTTTTTTAGTTCCTAACAATCACTGGTCAACACTGAAGTCACTTTGGAAACATTAACAAAATGTAGCCTCACATAAATGATACACTTTCATATTTGGCACTGTACACATGAGTGTATTACAACTCAATTTTAGAATATTTTATATGATTAGTTAATAGTTAAAACTGTAACTAGTTGTTTCAAATGGTCAACCTTTTTAATCCTAAAATATACTCTTTCTTACATATTTGTGTACTGGTCAAATTAGTGTCTTGTTTTTCATCATTCCGTATGTGAGTTGTTAGACAATGAACAACATTGTCATTGGAAAACTTTTGGTGCAACTGGAATTTTGCAAAACACATGACTTCAGTTATGAACAGTGCATGTGCAAAATAATCAGGATAAATAAACATAATTCTAATGCGATTAATGACAGTTTGACAGTCTGCATGTGTACTTTCTGTAGAAATATTCATATTATTGGTTTTATCTTGTACACATTTACTTACATTCGCTAATGTGATTTACTATGTTTTTGCTTATATTTTAGTTTTTCTTTTGGTACTGTGGTTGTTATAGTGTTACAATGCTGACAGTTTAAAAAATAACTTGCAATTTAAAGGCGCTTTACTCTGAGTGATTTCTTCAAAGCAACTCAAAGATAAATAAATGTGTTTATATTGTTCACGTTTACACAATGTTGCAAAAAAAATACAACTATTTAAAACACAACATTCTTTTCTTTTTTAATGTTTTTATGTATAAATACTTATTTCTTGTTAACAGGCTTTTAGCTGAAATGTGACAAATTGTATGATAGTTATACATGTTATGAGTTGATCACCAAAAAAGGATTAGAAAAGCTAACTAAATTTACAAACACTAAAAGCACAATGCTTAATGTCAATAGAAAGAAAAAAAATATGATCTAGAAATGGTTTAAATATATTACATTTGGCAAATACTTGCAAAGAAAGTAGACATAGATAGGACTTTCCAAGAAATAGCAAAACGATTAAACCAGAGAGGACCTGAAGTTGATTAGATTAGATCAGAAACTGTTGTTTTGCCTCAACAAAAGGGTCAAGGTGGAATAGACATCTTTATTGTGCCTACAAAGGCACAATAAAGATGCAATGAAACAAATGCAAATGTGAAATATAGTCATAAATACAATATACAAATAATAAATAACAGAAATGTATATAAAATACTTAAACAATATATGAAGATGATTTGTGACGTTCAAGCATAAAATATCACAACATTACTCTGAACTAAAATCCTACACTGTCTCTAGGCAGTTACAGCTACATTAAAGTACTGTGGAAATCTGGCGACTGCATTATTGACATACAAAAAGAGACAGTCTTTTGAGTTTTTCTACAGTTAAAGTGTTCTACAATAAAATATATTTAAAACGGTTAATTATTGTTGAATACAAGACTTTATTCTAATTATTTATAACTAGCATTAACTTAAGGAATTTCAAAACAGTGTGTGTCTTGTACGAGGTTTTTGCAGTCCTTGAATGCAGCATCGCTTTTGCCCAGTTACAGCTTCTGTAAGCGGGTGAGTTCATTTGTCACGTGGCTCAGATCTCGCACGTCGTTGGTCGCCTAACACCGGGGTAGTTGTTTTTGTTGAGAACCAGGAAGCGTTCTTTTTGTCATTCGGGCGTGTAGCATAACGTAAATATTAAAAAAAAGTAGTGGCGTGTCCCGTTAGAATACTTTTAAACCCAGTCTCGCCCGCTGACACGATTCGAGTCAACTGAACTGAAGGGAGAGACTTGTAAGTAGCATTTCTACGGTTTCTTCCTTTGTCTGTACGACAGAACTTGTCTAGACAAGTACTGAAAATGAGCACCAAAAGTATTTCGGCCTGGTGTAAGACAGAATAAGAAGAATATAGGAACCAATAGGAGGTAACAAGCTATACCTAGTATCTAATATTTATAAAATTTGATAAACATGTTTCGAAGATAATTAACGTGCCTATGTCTATGCTTACTTGTAGCTGTTTCTATGTTGTTTTATAGTTCGGAATAAACAGTGAGCCATTTGTGCCATGTTAGTTGTTAACTTTTCGGGGTAAATTCTAGCTATGTCTGTGGTTTGTTTTTGTGGTATTAAGGTATTTCTATGGTAAATTTAAGTAACGACCTTGGCTAACATTTTTTATTTCCTTGTTTGTTTATCGTATTGCAATCTCCTATCTTTTGTATGATAACCTGTCTGTTAATGCAGGGTTCATGCTTGACACTTGTTAATTTTGCTAACTTGTAGCTCCTTTTTTGGCTCCCTTACAGCTACAAACATGAAGGGACATCCCTGTCTTTTTTTGCCCAACTTCGAGCTTTTCCTAGATCAAATTTAAGCATCATTTTTGGCTAATATGTAGCCATTTTTGTTTTCTTTATAGTACTGGATGGTTGGTACTTCTTCGCAGAAATGGCGCTGGATGAAGCATCTCGCAGCTGTCTGTTGCGCTTCCGTCACAGACTGGAACAGGATATCAAGCCCTCATATCTTATGGATCACATGATCAGTGATGGTGTGATCAGTGTAGATGAGGAGGAAAAAGTCAGGATACAGGTGAGTTTTTGGTAGTGCGTTTGAGAATCATAAAAGCAGCTAGATACTTTTTTAAAAAAAATTCTTCTATTTCTCTCTCCATTCAGCCAACCAGAAAAGACCAGGCTGCTTCTCTGATCGAGCTTCTCCTGAGGAAAGACAACTGTGCCTTCATCTCGTTCTATAATGCTCTGGTCAAAGAGGCATATGACGATTTAGCCAGGTTGCTGTATGACAACCTTCCACAGATTTCCTCCAATGGTTATGAAAAGCTGTCTGATGAGAACACGTCCTATGGTGAGGAAGTAGAGACAATTGTTTGAACTGTCACTTCTGTGGGTGTGAAAATGTAAGGCCATTTTCAGGTATGACGTCTGGACAGTAAGATGTGCAAACTCATCCTATAATACCCAGGAGGCACCTTAAATAGATTAGTTTAGTGCATATCAAGTATTTTTGTTATGCATAGATCTCAACATACTAGATAAGTTGTTTATATGTTTTGGATACTGTACATATGTAAAAAAATAAAACAGACTCAGAAATGAATTCTTATCAAAAAGATTACCATATAATGATCAAAATGTTTGACAATGCATTAAAATATATATACAGTGACCTCATTCAAACTGCTTTTGTGCAGTTATTAGATCTCCTTCTAGAAAACTAGCAGAGAATGTTCACACCATGTCTTTTGATTCTTTTGGAAAGTTGCATTGTTTATTTTTCAAGTTTTATGCACTTTGTTCAACAGTTCAAATGCTGCTAAGTGAAGGTGGTGTGCCTCAGAGACCCGTAGTGTTTGTCAGCCGACCAGAGCTTTTGAACCGGCTTAGAGAGAAACTTTATCGTTTGAAGGAAGATTCAGGCTGGGTCACTGTTTTTGGGATGGCAGGCTCAGGAAAATCTGTTCTGGCTGCCGAGGCTGTTCGACACCAAGACCTCCTTGGTGGTGAGTCAGCACTGACCCAAAAATGTCCAATCATTTGGCAGATATTATTGAAGCACTCTCAAACACAGCAGTTTCATGTACAGCTCATATACTTTTTCTCCCTTTGCAGATTGCTTTCCTGGTGGTGTCCACTGGTTGTCCATTGGCCAGTTGGAGAAACCTGACCTTTTGCTAAAGATCCAGTCATTATGTTTCCGTCTGGAGCAGAATCTGCATTCCCACTCTGCCCATCGTTGTCCAAACTCTTTAGATGAGGCCAAGGAGCGTCTGCGCTTCCTCATGCTCCGCAGATATCCGAGGTGGTGGCACTTTCATACTACATACTGATGATGACACCATGTACTTATTATCTTTGGTCAACAGGCCTACAGACACAGTTACAGATTTCTGACCACTTCTCTGTTTTTGCTCTGGTTTATTAGATCTCTGCTGATGTTAGATGACGTCTGGGACAGCTCAGTGCTTAAAGTCTTTGACATCCACTGTCGCATTCTCCTGACCACCAGAAATAGAGGCCTCACCGATTCCGTTAGTGGTATGCACAACATTGTTTCCCGTGCTCAAAAAAAAGTTAAAGGATTGATAAAATCAACCTGACGTTACATTGTGTCTTAGGGGCCAAGTATGAGGTTGAAGTTGAGAGTGGTCTGGAGGAAAGCAAGGCACTGGAAATACTGGGACTGTACACTGACATCCAACCTCATGGACTGCCTGAGGAGGCTCGGCGCATCGTCGTAGAGTGTAAAGGTCTGTCAACTCAAACTCATCCATTTGTAACATTGAAGCTTGAAGGTTTATAGGACGTTATTGTCTCACACTCTCAGGTTCCCCCCTGGTGGTGTCGCTGATCGGGGCTCTGCTTAAGGATAAACCAAACCGCTGGCAGTATTACCTACGCCAGCTTCAGCAGAAGCAGTTTAAGCGAATACGTAAGTCCTCCTCCTATGATTACGACGCCCTGGACCAGGCCATGGCTGCGAGCATTGAGGTGCTGCCTGAGGAACATCAAGAGCTTTACAAGTATCTGACTGTGTTTGAGAAGGACATCAAAATTCCAGCTAAGGTTTGTAGTCCAAGTCACGATCTCCTCAAATGTTACACTTAATTTCCACTGTCTTCAGAAATACAGAATGACAGTGTCACTTGTTTTAGGTTCTGTCAGTTCTGTGGGACCTGGAGGAGGAGGAGGTGGAGGACATCCTCCAGGGGTTTGTTGACAAATCCCTGCTTTTTGTGGACAATAACAACAAACCCTGTCTGTATTACCTCCATGACCTTCAGCTGGACTTTCTGGTGGAGCAGAATCGCAACCAGCTAGAGGTGGGATTTTGTTGATAGAGCTCATATACAATAGCCTGTTTATAATAGAAATGCACCTATACCAAAACTAGTATCAGTATGAGGCCAGATGTTGCATTCAAATAGTCGTACACAAATATTAATAATAATGGGTACTATCTCCTCAACGTCAATTATTAACATAATTTACTTTTATATTTTTTTCAAAATCTTATTTTATCATTAATTATATTAACATTTTGTCTAATGTGACGACAGAGTCAGTTTGAAGACCTTTTGTTTTTTTTGGATTGAAAATATCCGTCTTTTCATAAAAGAAAATAAAACTGACTGTAATTTTTTCCTGCTTGGTGTCCTTACTGTGGTTTGAGTTGAGCTCATACCAACACGCTGTAGGCGAGTATGCACATAAATATACTCATACTGCATAAAAGGCATCAAAACAACTCTAGCTTTCTGCTAACAGACAACTGGTTTATGTCCAACACTTTCACTTCAGAGCCTTCACACTAAGATGGTGCGTCAGTACCAGCAGCACTACAGAGATGGTCCGCCGATCTCCAAAGACAAAGATTGTCTTTACTGGATTAGGTTTTTGACCTACCACATGGCTAAAGCTAGCCTTTCTCAGGTAAGAGACGTTTGCACAGGTGGCCATCAGACATTCTAGTAGTTCTTTAGCTACTCATGTTGATTTGGTTAAAAACTAAAAGCTGCTTTTTCTCTTTTGGTCTGATTCTACCTCTGCAGGAACTCTATTCACTAATGTTTTCTCTGGACTGGGTTTGCACCAAGGCCCAGATAATGGGTCCAGCCCACCTCATCAATGACTACATGGAGTACGGACCAAGTTTAGACAAAGAGGTCAGCACATGTCTTCAGTTAGGTTGTTCTGTTTAAGATGGGTGCATTTGCTGTGTGTATCTGTGTGTGTGTGTGTGTGTGTGTATATATGTATGTATATATATATATATATATGTATATATGTATATGTATATATATATATATATACACACACAGTATGTGTTTCTGTACATATATAAGAAATGTAATGCTTTCCATCCTCGTAGAACGATGGCGTGCGTAGTCATTTCCAAGAGTTCCTGTCCCTAAATGGCCACCAGCTGGAGCAGCGTCCCTTTCCAGATGTGGTTCAACTGGCATTGTCTGAGCCTCATACTTCAGATGTTTATAGACAGGCCCTAGTGCAGGCACTGGACAGAGCAAACAGAGGGAAACTCTACTTTGACTGGTTGTACGTAAAACCAAAACAATGTTATACTGTCTATAGTGTGTGAAAAAAACATTCTAATGTTATTCTTGTGTGTTTTTGTCTAGGAATAAGAACAGCGTAGAGAATCTGTCTCTCCTGGTGATCCACCCACACCAGGGCTCCATCAACTCAGCCTGCTTCTCCAATGATGGAACCAAGATCGCCACTTGTGGAGCCAGTAAGACACTCAAGGTATCAAAGCAGCTATTGTTTTGGGAATTGCACTATTTAGTTTTAATTGTGTCAAACTAGTGGAAAATACTAAAAGAAAGTAACTTTAAAACAAGTTTAAATGCCCTGGATTGAAACGTAAAAACCTTAACAGTCATGTGCAGTACAACTATAATAGTCCTGTCTTTGTTGTCAGGTGTTTAGAAGCACCACAGGTGAGAAGCTCACGGAGATCCAGGCCCACGATGACGAGGTTCTCTGTTGTGCCTTCTCCCCTGACGATTGTCTCATCGCCACCTGCTCTAGTGACCGGAAAGTTAAGGTAAAGTCACGACCAAAAACCTCATTTAAACCCAACTTAGGTGTAAAATACATTAACAAATATAATTACTTTTGCTAGATTTGGAATTTGGATCGTGATATGCTGCTGAGGGTCTTCTCAGAGGAGCATGAAGAGCAGATCAACCATTGTCAGTTCACAAACCTGAGGAGACAAGTCCTCCTGGCTACATGCTCCAATGACAAGTTCTTAAATGTGAAGGTGAGTGACTCTGTTGGTGCTGCAAAAAGTCTTCTTAAAGAACAGCTCCGACATAAAGAAATGTCCATGGTGGAATCCCAATCTCACCTGATAACTGCTGGATTTAAACCCTTGTCGTTCTTCTTCTCTTCCTGTAGCTGTGGAATCTGAACAAACCCACTTGCCAAAATACCTTGTTCAGCCACTTGGAGCCAGTCAATCACTGTTGTTTTTCACCAAACGACACATATTTGTCTACATCCTCCAACGATGGCACCGTCAAGGTCAGCATCTGATATTCATAAAGCTCACTTTTTTATGTGTACCTCATTTACAAGTTCACAAAAAAGGAAAATAAATGTGCACATATTCAGATCCCATTAACAAGTGTTGTCTAGGGTGTATTTAAATTAATGTTTCCTGTACCAATGCAAACAAATAAGAGCTGCAAAAATATTCTTACTTTTATTCTATAAAAATCCAATTGTCAATAGTAACATAATTGTTTTAGTTTTATACAAATAATAATAATTAATAATGAAAAAAACACTTCAACAAAGTTCAACATGACCATTCTTGGGTCAGACATTTCCAGATGATTTACATAAAGGTTAATTACATTTACAAGGATAATGTTACACAACCTTCAATTTAAGCAACCCAAAAATTATATCCAGTCTTTAACAATGGTCCTAAACTACATCACAGATGTTTCAGATACTCACCACACAATATTTTTGTCGTCTCTGACGGGATATCTGTGTGTGCTGTAGCTGTTTCAGGTGTCATCTGCCAATGTGTGGAAGACCATCAATGTGAGCAGCATGTTCTCAGAGAGTGACGAGACAGTCCCGGTTAAGTGCAGCACCTGGACAGGAGACGGCAAACGAATAGCATGTGCAGCCAGAAACGCAGTTTTGGTGAGTGTTTTAGAATAAAAACAACACATGGGTTTGGTCCATGTGACCCTGCAAAAGAATAAGCAGTAGATGATGGATCTATTGATGATGGATGAATTATTGATCAGTGACTTAGCTTATTGACTTTGTATCTCTCATGGCAGCACTGACATGATGTCTATTTTTTATATTATATATATATATATAATAGATATGTAGGTATGTATGTATGCATACAGTTTAGTTTGCTGTTCTTTTTTTTGTTCTCAGTTGTTTGATGTGGAGACGTCAGACATGTTGTTAGAGATCAAAACCAACCGTCTCAGCACAGTCCAGTACTGTCACGCCTGTCCCACTAGTAACCTGTTGGCCATCGCTTTCTCCAACTATGGTGTGGAGGTAAAACACATTTTCTTGCTGATATAAGTAGAAACAACCTTTGTCTACTGTGTAGTTTATGTAGTTATGTAGTGTTTTTTTTACTTGCAGCTGTGGGACCTCGTGGCTAACAAAAAGATGGCCGACTGCAGTGGACACCTGAGTTGGGTCCAGAGAGTTCAGTTCTCTCTGGATGGCTCACAGCTGCTCTCCTGCTCAGATGACCAGACCGTCAGGGTGAGATACAGATAAATCCTACTATCTTTGGCCTCACACAAATGTGGCTTCAAAGACGATCGGTTCCTCTTCTGAATTAAAACACTCTTGTTTTTTTTCCTTGAAGCTATGGGAGACTAAGAAAGTTCACACCACTTCTGCCGTCTGCCTGAAGAGAGATTCTGATGTCGTTTTCAATGATGGAGAGGTCGTAGTTTCTGCTGCAGACAACTGCAACAGGCTACAGGTGACAGAATTATATATGAAAATAATGAAACAATTGGTTTTTAAGTAGGTTTAAAAAAAAACTTATATCAATCAAATTCTGAAGTAATAAAGCTGAATCACGTGCGCTGTTTCAGGTACGTGAGGGTCCATCAGGATCGCTGCTGTTCCAGTCGGAAGAAAAGTCGTCCAGGATCAGGTGTACTTGTCTGTGCAGGCAGCCATTTGTTGTGGCTCTGGGCCAAGAAAATGGAACTGTACAGGTAGAAAACAAAAATTGTTGAAACACAATATTTCTGCTTTCTCTTTAATCAGCTGGTCTATTACTGAGTGCCAAGTTTGAACTTGGTCTGATTTTGGAAGTTGGATACATTTTTGTGACCCTAAACTTGAAAAATGTTAGTGTTTGCAGTAATGTTTCAATGAAATATGTCAGATGTTGGAACCATGTATTTTTTTAGGTTTTAGATTATTCAGTCTTCATGAACTATGTTGTGGCTGCTGTGTGTTTGTGAATGCCCTCCCTCATGCTTGCTGGCCTTAGTTCCCTGACCCATCTATTCTCTGACAGGTAAAACTCTGTACGAAAGAGACCGGATGTAATTAAATTAGCAAAATAGAAGCATTATCTTAGTCTAGGTCGAGAGAAATATTTAAAAGGATTGTTCTTGTTGTGCCCTATGTGTACGCCAGAGGGAGCTCTGTTTCTGCATCTGTTGGATCGTCGTTCCACTGCGGTTTGCTGCAGCAGTGTCATTTCCTTCTTACTCACCTGGTTGTGTCTACCAGGGGCTTAGAGAAGAAATTAAAATACTAATAATTCATGAGCTTTAATCCAGATCAAACTCACGTCTGTTTGTGTCTGAGGAAACACTTTTGGCCAAAACTGCAAAGTGCTGCAATGTTTGTTAAAGATAAATTGAGAGTCTCAAAAGTGCTGCAATGTTTGTTAAAGATAATAAGATCAAACCTTTTTTTTTTACATTGCGTATGTTAAGCTTGTTCAGGGCTTTCATCTGCCATTTCTCCTTGTGCTTCTCAGATTCCTGACGTTGAGTCACACATTTTTCTAAATAAAAATGAAGCAGGGATAGATATGTATATCTGTGGAGCATCCTTACAGAAACTGGTTTTTTATGCAGACACAGCAAATCCCGAGGCTTCTAATAGCAAAGCTGTTTTGTTCACTAACCCCCCCATGAACGTCTGCAGTGCTGTCAGATCCTCATCAGACCATCGCAGGCTGCAGAGGGCATTCAGAACTTTAGACTCTCTCCACCAGTTCCTACTTTTTGATGTTCCTATCAGCGTCTAACCAGCAGTCTCTCCTCACCTTCTTACTTCCACAAAGTACAGCTTCTTTTCTTTCAGGAAACCTTCTGGGACATCTTTGCAAACTCAGCTCTATTTTTAAGGCCTGTGTAACGAGATGCTCCAGATTTTTGTAGTCACATTAACGTATGTATGTGAAACATTGTTATTGTTCAGAGATCCTTCTGAAAGTATCTCTACAAGAGCAGTTTTCTTATTGGTTAAAAACCTGCTCACAAGTCATTAACAATGAATCCAACAAGTGATGTAAGTGGGTCAAAAAATACTGACTTGGTTTATGATTTTATATATATATATGCTGCACACAGTTCCCTTTAAGGTTTAAGATGTCGATGGATGGATGGTGTTCTGTGATGCTGATGAGTGCTGAAGACCAAACTTGAATAGTTTGGTAATAGAGCAGTTTGTGGTGGTAACGTTTGTTTTTTGTCATGCAGGTGTTGGAGTTGGCCTCAGGAAAGCCTCTGGCCACTCTGCAGGGACACACCAAGACAGTTCTTCACTGCAAGTTCATCCACGATGGCCAAACCCTCATCACATCGTCGGAGGACACCACCATCAGGGTCTGTAGCTCGATTCTTCCCTCTTCTCATCTAATCCATGGCCCGTTCTTTGACCTCCTTCCCTCGCCCCGCCTCCTGTTTCCCTCTTTCCTCCTCTTATCTCAATCATTTCTCACCTAGGGTAAAACTGTCTTCTCCATTAGGTTTCTCATGCTTATGGCACTGCGATTTCTTTGTAGTCTCTTCCTCTACCTGTTACATCCCAGTGTTTTTCTTCTCTTCATTTCCCCAACTTCTGTTTCCTCATCTTCTTTTTCCCTCTCGTTGCCTTTGGCTACACTTCTTATCTCTCCCTTCTCCTCCCTCACTGGTGTTGGTTGTGTGCAACTCCATCTTGTGTATGTGTGTGTGTTTGTATGTGTGCGTGTATTTGTGTGTGTGTATTTTCGGCCGTTACCATTTCCCAACTCCTCACCTGTCATGCTCTAGTGCTCATTCCCCCTTTATCTTCTCCTATCCCACCTCCTCCTCCTCTTCCTCCCTCATCCTTTCTTCTTACTGATGGACCTGTCCACTGCAGCACGTCCTTCTCTCTGCCTTCCTCTCTCTATTTTTCCCCCCCCGACTTATCCGTATTCACACTGCAGCTGCCTGCAGCATCGCTTTCTCTGGACCGTCCGCTGCACATTCACATTCACCCGTCTTGCAGATTTATGTTGTTTGACATCTGCTGGCCTGATAATGAAAGTGTGTTATCTATAGATGTCAGTGCAGACACAAAGTGAATGTAAAATGATCTAATGGCACTGGGACGTGGGGGCGGTGATGGATTCTAACCTTTGGACCAGTGACAGATTTTATTGAGAAGGAGAAAAAGGTGCACCCAACAAACCTGGAGCCTGATAAGAGGCGTCCGGCTGAACTCCCGTCTTCATTCATTTGCATACTGACATGATATAAGCTCAAGGTTGACAGATGTACGGGTCCATCGTTTGCATTAGCTTAACCCAAGTAGATTCAGGTTGCCAGAAAATGGAAAAATAATATTTTGCACTACCTGGATCTGAGCAGTATCATGCAGTTGTTTTTCTGCCCTGACAGCCCCAGTATGTACTGTACAGTACATGGCTGCAGTGCAGCATCTATGGCTCCCTGTCATGTGATCAGTGGATGTTGTGTGGCTGTAACAAAGAAAGCCGACTTTTGATTTTTTTTTCTCTACTTAGATGTCATGTGTTCAATAAAATCTTAGGCATCACTGATGTGGTAAGACATGTTAAGCAGTCACCCCCCCCCTAAGTGAAGTCATTGTTTAGCTAATAGAAGTTATATGGTGCCATTGTCACATATTTTGCCAAATTTAAATCAAGGTTGATTGATGGAAATTTACAGGAATCCATGGGAATAAATGAGAATCAACCTGGAATATAAAATGATGAGGTTGGCTCTTTGTTGGAATTTTTAATAATTCATAGGGAACAATATATCTTGGCATAATCTGGACCAAGGATCTTCACATATGTTCAGGCTTGACCACCAGATTCTATACTCTGCCTTTCATATGATGCTTTTCTGTACCTGCTGGACTTGTCAATTCCTACAAAACTGATTCTCTCTCTCTCTCTTCGTTCTCGTTGAGCGAAGGAAGTCACAGTTATTTTCCTGTTTCCCAAAAAAGAAAAGAAAAAGAAATTCAGATTAATTTGTCTTGCTGTGTCCTGCCAGCAATAGCACTCTGTGAATTGGGACCGAGACCACACTTTGGGAAGTGCTGCTGTAATCTATATTATAGGTTGTTCTGCAGAATATTTTAAATTAGTGACAAGATTAGATCATGGCCGACACAACTGTATTATTAGCGCCATTTGCAGGAAAGGGCGAGAGTTGACGTAGGTTGACCTTAAGTTAACAAATACTTTACTGTTAGTCTGTGTGCAGGTTGTAAACCAAGCTCCTCCTTGGTTGCGTTATGATTATATATACAGATCCTTTCCAAAAAATTTTATGATTTTATATATATATATGCTGCACACAGTTCCCTTTAAGGTTTAAGATGTCGATGGATGGATGGTGTTCTGTGATGCTGATGAGTGCTGAAGACCAAACTTGAATAGTTTGGTAATAGAGCAGTTTGTGGTGGTAACGTTTGTTTTTTGTCATGCAGGTGTTGGAGTTGGCCTCAGGAAAGCCTCTGGCCACTCTGCAGGGACACACCAAGACAGTTCTTCACTGCAAGTTCATCCACGATGGCCAAACCCTCATCACATCGTCGGAGGACACCACCATCAGGGTCTGTAGCTCGATTCTTCCCTCTTCTCATCTAATCCATGGCCCGTTCTTTGACCTCCTTCCCTCGCCCCGCCTCCTGTTTCCCTCTTTCCTCCTCTTATCTCAATCATTTCTCACCTAGGGTAAAACTGTCTTCTCCATTAGGTTTCTCATGCTTATGGCACTGCGATTTCTTTGTAGTCTCTTCCTCTACCTGTTACATCCCAGTGTTTTTCTTCTCTTCATTTCCCCAACTTCTGTTTCCTCATCTTCTTTTTCCCTCTCGTTGCCTTTGGCTACACTTCTTATCTCTCCCTTCTCCTCCCTCACTGGTGTTGGTTGTGTGCAACTCCATCTTGTGTATGTGTGTGTGTTTGTATGTGTGCGTGTATTTGTGTGTGTGTATTTTCGGCCGTTACCATTTCCCAACTCCTCACCTGTCATGCTCTAGTGCTCATTCCCCCTTTATCTTCTCCTATCCCACCTCCTCCTCCTCTTCCTCCCTCATCCTTTCTTCTTACTGATGGACCTGTCCACTGCAGCACGTCCTTCTCTCTGCCTTCCTCTCTCTATTTTTCCCCCCCCGACTTATCCGTATTCACACTGCAGCTGCCTGCAGCATCGCTTTCTCTGGACCGTCCGCTGCACATTCACATTCACCCGTCTTGCAGATTTATGTTGTTTGACATCTGCTGGCCTGATAATGAAAGTGTGTTATCTATAGATGTCAGTGCAGACACAAAGTGAATGTAAAATGATCTAATGGCACTGGGACGTGGGGGCGGTGATGGATTCTAACCTTTGGACCAGTGACAGATTTTATTGAGAAGGAGAAAAAGGTGCACACAACAAACCTGGAGCCTGATAAGAGGCGTCCGGCTGAACTCCCGTCTTCATTCATTTGCATACTGACATGATATAAGCTCAAGGTTGACAGATGTACGGGTCCATCGTTTGCATTAGCTTAACCCAAGTAGATTCAGGTTGCCAGAAAATGGAAAAATAATATTTTGCACTACCTGGATCTGAGCAGTATCATGCAGTTGTTTTTCTGCCCTGACAGCCCCAGTATGTACTGTACACTACATGGCTGCAGTGCAGCATCTATGGCTCCCTGTCATGTGATCAGTGGATGTTGTGTGGCTGTAACAAAGAAAGCCGACTTTTGATTTTTTTTTCTCTACTTAGATGTCATGTGTTCAATAAAATCTTAGGCATCACTGATGTGGTAAGAAATGTTAAGCAGTAGCAGTTTATAAGTGAAGTACATGTTAAGCAGTCACCCCCCCCCTAAGTGAAGTCATTGTTTAGCTAATAGAAGTTATATGGTGCCAAATTCTTTAGTCATGCTAATAGAAGTTATATGGTGCCATTGTCACATATTTTGCCAAATTTAAATCAAGGTTGATTGATGGAAATTTACAGGAATCCATGGGAATAAATGAGAATCAACCTGGAATATAAAATGATGAGGTTGGCTCTTTGTTGGAATTTTTAACAATTCATAGGTAACAATATATCTTGGCATAATCTGGACCAAGGATCTTCACATATGTTCAGGCTTGACCACCAGATTCTATACTCTGCCTTTCATATGATGCTTTTCTGTACCTGCTGGACTTGTCAATTCCTACAAAACTGATTCTCTCTCTCTCTCTTCGTTCTCGTTGAGCGAAGGAAGTCACAGTTATTTTCCGGTTTCCCAAAAAAGAAAAGAAAAAGAAATTCAGATTAATTTGTCTTGCTGTGTCCTGCCAGCAATAGCACTCTGTGAATTGGGACCGAGACCACACTTTGGGAAGTGCTGCTGTAATCTATATTATAGGTTGTTCTGCAGAATATTTTAAATTAGTGACAAGATTAGATCATGGCCAACACAACTGTATTATTAGCGCCATTTGCAGGAAAGGGCGAGAGTTGACGTAGGTTGACCTTAAGTTAACAAATACTTTACTGTTAGTCTGTGTTCTAATTTTCTCATGTCCGTCTCTCCTGGGTCTTATGAAGGTGTGGGCGTGGCCGTCTGGAGAGTGTAAAGTACTTCGGGGTCACAAAGAACAAGTCCGATGCTTCTCACTTCTCTCCAACTCAGCATCTGAGTCCCGACTCCTGTCCTGGTCGTACGATGGTACCGTTAAGGTGACTGTGGTCCTGTGACACACTTAACCATTTACAGTCAGTTTTCAGCAGCAGCATTATCGTAAACATTAAATATTCAGCACCGTCTCATTCCTCGCTCTTAGGTGTGGGACATAAAAAGTGGAGAGACAATGCGGGACATCGACGCTCATGTGGGAGCCATTCTGTCCTGTCATGTCTCGCCAGACGGCTGCTTTTTTGCCACTGCCTCTGCTGACAAGACTGTGAAGGTTAGTCACATTTACACACACACACACTCGAGTCAACACATGTCTGTTACGCTGCCGGCAACATTTTGACCTATTACACATTAGCATCTTCCCTCCAGACTTGTTGTTTTCAGCACATAGGCTCATAGTCTGCCAGTGATATTAGAGGCTGAAAAGTTTGTGCAGCAGTGCAGTTGAAGGACCAGAGGGACTTGACTCAGGTCTGGGGATTCAGATACAGGTCAACGCTGCCCTGCTACGCTCGCGCTGGACTTGTATTTACTCAAAGCAAATTGAAGTCAGTGGACATTCTGAACCACTGCCTTCCTGTCAAGGTGTAATTTTGGACAGACCGCATTTTACCAACACTGCTGCACTCGACTTTGGCCTGACTTTGACTGACTTTATAAACTGAATGCTGCAGAATATTAAAAAAAAAAAAAAACTCAACCCCCACGGAGAAGGGAACAAAGGAACAGGACATGCTGAACATATTCAGAACTGTCTCTCTTTTTGTGCCTCTGTTAAATATTTCTACTCTGAATGAAAGGACATAAACTGTGTCCTCAACTATTCTTGGATCATAAATGACTGTGGATTCGTGGTTAGATTAAAACATCTCTTAGCTTCCACTCATGACTGATGACTGGTGGCTTAGTAGAGTCCAGAAGCGAGGCTGTTTCTCAGTCATTGGTTCACACAGGAATCTGGGTTTAGTCCACACTTTCAGGCAAAATAATAATTAAGCTGTGTGTGTAATCTTTTTTTCAGGTCCCCATTAGGTTGAGGTTTAAGATTTGCCAGTTGATGATCACTGGGTCAGGGAATGCATTATGTCTACGTGTATGTGTAGTTCTGACAGTTTGTGAAAACCAGAAGGTGTGTGACATAGTCATAGTCAAAGTCCTTGTTTTACAAATTAAAATATTTTGTAATATGAAACAAACCTCAAGATGTTTTTTTTTATGTAAGTGAAGAGTTTAAACCAGAATCCATGAATGTTCTTGTTGGAAAAAAAACCCCTTTGCAGTTCTGCTTATTTCCTTTCCTCCATTTCTTTCGCCTGGCCTTTAAATGAATGGTAGTTTCTGTGTACAAGTGTCTAATTATGAGCCATGTTATTTTCTGTGCAGCACAGGAAGCAACTAGAGCAAGGAAGAAGAAGAGGAAGGGGGTGAGGAAGGTGGGGGGAGAAAAAAATGTGAAAAGAAACAATGAACACAGAAGAAAGGGATCAAAAAAATAAAAAAGAACATGAAAGAGATGACAGCAGGGAATGAGAGCACTTTGTTACTAGGACTCTTTAAGGAAATTACATGGATTACTAGATATAAACTCTCTAATTGTTATCACCAAGTCTTTGGTGTAAATAGTTTTACTATCAAATGGAACAATGAGACACGTTCAAAAGGATGGTGTGAAGTCAGTAACGGTCTCAGATATAATAATATAAAGTGTCAGGTTTTGCACGTTCATTCCACATCTATGACTGTGCTAAAATTAAATGTTGTGTTTTTAAAGTAAAAAAAACAAAAGCTGTGGTTGGCGGAATGCTTTAAAAATTAAGTTGAAATGAGGACAGAGTCCTTTGTTTTCAGCCAATGGCATATTTATATACATGAACCATAGATTTGAAACATTTCAACCTTGAATAATTCAGAAGCTGTCACACACAAAATAAGGTTTTTATTTTTAGATTTCTAACTCAGTTATTGCTTGTTTTTCCTCACTTTTGTCTTAACTTTCTGCTCTTTCACAGTTGTGGCTCTGTGAGACCTGGCAGTGTGTCCACAGACTCAGCGGCCACCAGGAGTGCGTCAGGAGCTGCAGGTTCTCCTGGGACAGTCGACGTCTAGCCACTGGAGACGACAACGGCGAGATCAGAGTACGTGTTCAGAAGTTTTTAGCCATATATTGTTTTTAAACTTTAGTATTTAGTGTTTAATTACATTTTATTTTTCATTTGGTTATATGTAAAGAGTCAACTCTGTCATTTCCACATGTGGTTACTAACTCGTCATGATTGCTGCAGAAGAGGGCTGAGTTGAAAGTGAGGTGGCAGGGCTTCCTCTCCAGGTGCTGGAGGAGGTGCAGGTTGTAGGAGAATGGTTGATGAAGGAGATCAGTAAGAGGAAAAGATGTTCTGACAGCAGGGGGTGAAGGAGCTGCCAAATTGGATCCCCAAGGTTTTGAAGAATTGGCAGCGCACTTTAGCAGACACAAAGTCAGTGAAAAGTCGGACCGTGTGAGAAGCAGAGCAGGGTGGGAGCAGATGTGAAGAAGCCTCTGTGGATAAATGGCGGAACTGCAGCAGTTAGAAAAAAAAAAACAGTCGATGCCCTCGAGGGGGCTCTGGGGCCCCCCGGGCCCCTTTACCCGGAAAAAACCCACGCCACAAAAAAATCTTTTTTTCAGGTCCCCATTAGGTTGAGGTTTAAGATTTGCCAGTTGATGATCACTGGGTCAGGGAATGCATTATGTCTACGTGTATGTGTAGTTCTGACAGTTTGTGAAAACCAGAAGGTGTGTGACATAGTCATAGTCAAAGTCCTTGTTTTACAAATTAAAATATTTTGTAATATGAAACAAACCTCAAGATGTTTTTTTTATGTAAGTGAAGAGTTTAAACCAGAATCCATGAATGTTCTTGTTGGAAAAAAAACCCCTTTGCAGTTCTGCTTATTTCCTTTCCTCCATTTCTTTTGCCTGGCCTTTAAATGAATGGTAGTTTCTGTGTACAAGTGTCTAATTATGAGCCATGTTATTTTCTGTGCAGCACAGGAAGCAACTAGAGCAAGGAAGAAGAAGAGGAAGGGGGTGAGGAAGGTGGGGGGAGAAAAAAATGTGAAAAGAAACAATGAACACAGAAGATAGGGATCAAAAAAATAAAAAAAAACATGAAAGAGATGACAGCAGGGAATGAGAGCACTTTGTTACTAGGACTCTTTAAGGAAATTACATGGATTACTAGATATAAACTCTCTAATTGTTATCACCAAGTCTTTGGTGTAAATAGTTTTACTATCAAATGGAACAATGAGACACGTTCAAAAGGATGGTGTGAAGTCAGTAACGGTCTCAGATATAATAATATAAAGTGTCAGGTTTTGCACGTTCATTCCACATCTATGACTGTGCTAAAATTAAATGTTGTGTTTTTAAAGTAAAAAAAACAAAAGCTGTGGTTGGCGGAATGCTTTAAAAAGTTGAAATGAGTCCTTTGTTTTCAGCCAATGGCATATTTATATACATGAACCATAGATTTGAAACATTTCAACCTTGAATAATTCAGAAGCTGTCACACACAAAATAAGGTTTTTATTTTTAGATTTCTAACTCAGTTATTGCTTGTTTTTCCTCACTTTTGTCTTAACTTTCTGCTCTTTCACAGTTGTGGCTCTGTGAGACCTGGCAGTGTGTCCACAGACTCAGCGGCCACCAGGAGTGCGTCAGGAGCTGCAGGTTCTCCTGGGACAGTCGACGTCTAGCCACTGGAGACGACAACGGCGAGATCAGAGTACGTGTTCAGAAGTTTTTAGCCATATATTGTTTTTAAACTTCAGTATGTAGTGTTTAATTACATTTTACTTTTCATTTGGTTATATGTAAAGAGTCAACTCTGTCATTTCCACATGTGGTTACTAACTCGTCATGATTGCTGCAGAAGAGGGCTGAGTTGAGAGTGAGGTGGCAGGGCTTCCTCTCCAGGTGCTGGAGGAGGTGCAGGTTGTAGGAGAATGGTTGATGAAGGAGATCAGTAAGAGGAAAAGATGTTCTGACAGCAGGGGGTGAAGGAGCTGCCAAATTGGATCCCCAAGGTTTTGAAGAATTGGCAGCGCACTTTAGCAGACACAAAGTCAGTGAAAAGTCGGACCGTGTGAGAAGCAGAGCAGGGTGGGAGCAGATGTGAAGAAGCCTCTGTGGATAAATGGCGGAACTGCAGCAGTTAGAAAAAAAAAACCAGTCGATGCCCTCGAGTGGCCTCTGAGCTCCACGTGCTCCATTACCCGGAAACAACTCGAGGCCACAAATCAAATGATATAAACCGCACTAAACTTTCAGCCTGCATTTAGTCAGTCAGTGTAACAACAGAACCTGGAGTTTAATGTTACCTGACATAAGACATGTCACAGTTGAATAACAGCTGCAATACTCATTAGCTGACCACCAACCACGTTTCACACTTAGACATGGTGTTTTATGGGAACTTTCTCAGTTGTATCCACATGCTAAGGTCAGAAATTTTCTTTTCTTCTTTTTTTTTAACCAAGTCTATTTTTGTCCTTGTGAAATGGAAACCTAATTTCAAGAATGTTGGCACAATTCCTTAAAAGGCAAAAATACAAACTCTGTACTTCTGCCATTCGCTCTGAGCTTCCCTTAATAGGTCAGACAAGGACAAGGGAAAAAGTGTATTACTAACTTTGTGATTCTTTCACTTAATATTTTTTTCTGGTTTTAGCTATTTCAAGGCTACGGTTAATTTGGCTTTTGGCTAATTCCTAGCACAATCTTGATGATCTGTCAATGTTATTAGCTAACTTTCATTTACTAGAGTTGTGGTTGATGATGTCCTGCTGTCCCTCACAGCTGTGGAACGTCAAAGATGGGACTCTGCTGAAGATTTGCTCAAGGGACGGTAAAGACGGCATGGACTCACTGCACGGAGGCTGGGTGACTGATCTCCACTTCTCACCCGACGACTCCCTCCTGGTCTCCACCGGAGGCTACATCAAGGTTTGATGATCCCGTTCATTGGTGTTACTGGTTGTGTTCAGTGTATAAGGGGTTACAGCAGCGGTTCCAAAACTTGTCTTTATGAGACTAAAAATGAATACTGAACAAACAGTCTGTCAAACAAGCAGCGTCTCCGTCCGCAAGTATTGCTTTTGGTGTGAACGCCACATAAGAGTTGATGCACTTAGTAACTTAGTGTGTGCGCGCATGTGTGTGTGTGTGTGTGCGTGCCTTTATTTTATGGGGTCACAGAGCGGCCAGTATCCTCCAGGCTCTGGTCATTTTGTGATACAGTGATGTGATTCTCCAGAGAGAGAGAGTGACTGTGATTAAGGTTTTATATCCCAGATAACGTTACCTCTCTGATACTGCGTTAGTGTGTGTGTGTGTGTGTGTATGTGTGTGTACCTGCTGTAGTTATATTTGTGAGTTGTTGTTGTTGTTGTTGTTGCAGTAGGGATACACTGTATACTGTCTTTGGATATTAAAGAAATAGTTTGGAATTAAGATTTATTTTTGGGTATCATTAGAGATGTGTATCTATATGTGCAAGCATTCGTCTGTGTCTGTGTGTGTGTGTGTCTGTGTGTGTGAACAACAGCACATTTAACTTTGTTTATATCTGAGATGATACAGTTAGATTGCAGCTGTACTACAGCCTAGAGTTTAGACAGATGGACCGACACTATAACAATAAACCAACCCATGAAAACCCACAAAGTATCACCGACAGCATTATAAAGTTATAGGAAATGAACTAAAACGCAGGATGGAGCCCAAATGTGTTGCTTTTATACCATGTCTTTATGTCGTGATTATGTTATTTTAGAGAAAAGTGAGGTCTGTTCTCAGATCGATAATCTCTTTCATAAACCCCACATAAAAAGACGTGATTTTTAATGCCAGAGAAAGTGGTAGTAAAACGATGTGATCCCGGTAAATACCAAAAGAAAACTAGAATATATTTCTCAGTGGAATTCACTGCTTTGTTGATGAATTTAACCAACGTGTTGAAAAAGACTCGTCGACTTCAAGACTTGTTTATTGGAGGATGGTGATTAAGAATTTAAAAAACCCACAAATGTATATTAATCTAGCACTTCAATAGTTTCATCCATGGCTTCTATTTATATTAAGACATTTGTGATTGTATTGTGATTTAGAAATGCTGAGAGCTGTCAGTCATTGGGTCCAAAGTCTAAATAAATGTAAAAAGTGAATTGGCACCAACTGCTGCAGTAGAATCTCTCAGGGCCCTGGGCTTCCTTCAGTGAAGGTTATGGACTTGATGGATCAGCCTGTGGATGTTGAGAGCAGTGATGGATGATTACTTCTGTCTGAGAGAATGAGACCCCATGTCGGGAGCATTGATTGATTAATCTCAATGTTTGTCAAGCGGGCACCGATCACAGGCCGTGTCTGTCACAGCAATTACTGCGTCAAAGTGTGGACGTCTGGTGATGGATGGAACACTAGCTCTGTGATAAGCTGGAGTGACCATCATTTTAATGACCGTTGTCGAGAATATAACAAAAGCTTTCATGCTCGGACTCGGCACTTTAACAGTTCCAGTCATTACCAACTCTTAGGTTCCACTGGTTGTATCAATGGCGCTGTGTCCTGTTAAATTAAATAAAAAGCCACTGGTTGTATCAATGGTGCTGTGTCCTGTTAAATTAAATAAGAAGCTCTCTTCGCTGTTTTGCCTCCGTGGAACATTTTGGACAAGAAGTCTGCAAAATATGCCAAAAAAGCTAAAACTTTCACAAATAATTGATTTAGGAAAAGGGATAATGAGGGAAAAAGCTTCGACAATTATCACCTTCTGGAAGGTATTTGTTTTTAATTCATGTTCAGCTGGTGAGAAGGAGAAAATTCATTATGAAGGATCAGAAAAATATTCCATGAAATGTGATAAATCTGTGAGTCACAGATGAAGCATCTGATGTTGGAGTTTGTTTTAATTATTCAGAGTTCATTCAGATACGTACAACAACTTCCAGTGTAGGAAGAACCTTTGATCTCTTTTGCTACTTAAGCTTTTCGGGTTACACAAGTATTGTCTCACTGATGCCTCAGAGGCTCGATCACTGCGGAGCGTTAGTATGAACTCTGAAGAGAACTTTTATTGCTGCAGGAAATTGAGCTGCGAGTCAAACATTTTCTAAAACAGAAAGTTCAAAATTCTTTAAGACACACAGCCCTGCTGTGGCGAAGTTTTCTTTAAAGAGTTTTTGCCTATTCCGATTATATTCAGTAACCCATTTCTGTATAAATTCTTATAAAAGATATGTGGACATTTTAATACAACAACAGTAGAAGGTCCTGAAATTTTCCCCAATGTTGGGCCGATACCGATCCTGAGTATCGGACCGAGGCATTTCTAGTTTCAATTTGTCATCTTTTGATCCATATTTTATTAGCCAGTGAAAATGTCTGGCCTTCCTGACTTTATAGTCCTGAAAATCTGCCCCACTGGATTTAAAATTAAAAAAGCGAGGCCGCATCTGGTTAAGCTGTCAGTTTTAGCAAATAACTCTGAGAGGATCTCTTGTGCAGTGAGTTTCAGGAAAAGTAACAACTGCATCAGTGCACCGGAATGTATATAATACCGGATATGGATGTTGAGCTAGTACCAGCCAAATGAGATTATTATGGATTACGTGCTAATCTAAACACCGCCCCTCGGAGATGTTAATTACTGAGATGATGATTTATCACTGTGTGGACTGACTGAGAGCCCCTCTGGTGTTGCAGTGCCTGAGTGCGTCCTTGCATTAGAAATAAAAAACGGTGTCATTTAAATTAAACATGTGACAGTTCTTGGAAGAACAATTACTTGAAAATAAATGATAACACCATCACGGCGTGATTCACCCGAGACCTTTCTGCTCCTGTAACTCCTCTGTGTTGCTGGGTCTTTTATATTGGAAGGATGATTTCTCAAGTGGTTTTACTCAGTTAATATGATGAACACTCATAGTTTTGTTTTGTTTTTTTTTTTGGGTCCACACACAGAATGATGTTGTATTTTCACCCTGGCAGTAATTCCATCAGTTATCACGCTGCCTTTTCTCTCTCTTTGTCTTTATCTCTCCCTCTCCGTGTCTGCACGGTCAGGTGTGCAGTGTGAATGTAATTAAAATCAGCAGGCATCCGTGTGCGTGGTGTGTGTGTACTTGACCAATATCCCCTGCTGTGTTCAGTTGCCTGTGCAGAGTGTTTAATGAAGCCTTTCTTCCGCTCCTTATCACCCAGGTTTCACTTTTTACATAATGAAAACACAACCTCTGTGCGTGTGTGTGTGTGTGAGTGTGTGTCAGAGTATGATGAAGTGCTATCTCTCCAGCTCACTGAAAAAGCCTGTTACTTCCCACACTGAATCCCATCAGTCCACTGTCCTTCTGCTGCACGTCCTGTTCAGAAAGGCCACTGCTTTCTGTCTCACACCTGCCCCTGCACACACACACACACACACACACACACACACACACACACAATCACAAAATGCTATTGCACGTTGATCTACCGCGGTACTGCAATCTGAGAGGGAAGCAGCAGGTGTGAAAAGACTCATCCTTACAGCAAGAACACACACACACACACGCACACACAGGCCCAGAATAACTCTCCAATATTACATAGAATACAACTTAATTATAATAGACTCTGATCTCCTGCATTGACAAGTGGCCATGTTTAACCTTTAATCCATATCTCTGAGGTCTGTTTTACTAAGCTGCCGGCTGTCAGTCGACAGACGGAGGCAGTATCTCATCAGCAGGGAGGTCTGATCTGATGAGTCTAGAGTTCTGATCTGCTAATTCTTCCCAACTTGGAGATACATCTGTCACCACCGCTGTTGAAATGTTATCTAAAAGACCATTATCGTATAAGGACCGAAGTCTTATCAGAGTGAGGAGAGTGAGCAAAATACAAGACTCTGATTTGATCAGTCATCCTACGATCAACACAGTGAATCCTTGCTCCAGTCGAGCGTGTTCATAATCAAGCTAGGCTAATTGGTTTTGTCCAGACATGACCCATTTTTTGTGATGTTGTGAGCGGTACAGATCTGATTCTTTTGAAGTCTGAATCGGAACCAGGCCATCTTCATACGTGGTCCCAAATCTGATACCTGATCTGATATGATGTTTTGATGTCAAGTCACATTTTATCTGACTTTGACCTCAGTGATACAAAGGTCACGGTTCTGTGTCAGAGCGGGGGGAAACGTGGTTATAAACTCTAGTGTCGTAGACTGTTCACGACACTTTTAAACTCTTAACATGAACAACCACACAAAAAAAATCTGAATTGAGCAACAAAACGTGGCGTGAAAATCCCTCTAACTTTATAAATATTTTATGTGGCGTGAATCACTTTTCTCTTAGAAACATTTTGGAAATGTTTGTGCTACATTTTTCTTCCCTTTTTTTTAAAAAAAATCCCTCTAACTTTATAAATATTTTTACCATGTTTTTTTTTAAACATCACTAAAAGTAGGTGAAAACTGGTCATGTAGTCTCTTAAAATTAACATGTATTATATATTCGTAAATAGAGTGACTTAAATTTAATTACCTTCCCAGATTTTTTTTTTTCTTTGCTGATCATGATCATCCCAGGTAGCCTATCACGACAGGATAGTTGCTTCCAACATCTGTATTATATAGTTCATTAGCTTGGTCTCTGTAATATTAACAAATACTGTAATTAATTCAGTTGGTTTAACTGCAGCATCACCTTGAATCAATGTATATAATGATGGTAAAAACAAACACATCTTCATAACACGTTGGCTCACATGGTTTACGTGAAAAACAGCCTTGCATTATGTGTTTGGTCTTTAATATATTTCTTCTGAAGACACATAAAACCAACCAACTCCTGAAAAAAAGTATTTCTTTTACCTAAGGGATAATGAAAAAAACATGAACAAACCATTAAATGAAATCAGATTCTCACTATTCCCAGAAATACCAAGGCCAACAACAGTTT